CCCGTGATAAGTCTTCTCCAAGTGGTGAAGCTAAAGAGATAGGTGTACTCAAGCTACAAAAATCTCCAATGTCGATCTTCAATCCTACCTAAGGAGAAATGTATAGTGTTTCCTAGCCACTATATGTCTGCTTCCTGTCAACTATACAAAATATCATAGAATTATATTCCAGCATGTTCCCAGGATTAAGTAATGTCATCTCTGAGAATGATAGTAGCATGCTATATGATGCATTATGGTATTTCCCAGCAGGGATTACGAGTAATGCTTTTTTCAAGACATATGACCTTGTTTATTGTTGATTGCTGCTAAGACTGTACTAACAGCACTATCCTAATGAAAGCAAAGCACTTTGAGTACCAAAGTATTACAAAATGTTATCCAATAGTACTCAGGACGCTATGCGTACGGCTTTTTGACAGTAACTTTTTGCAATGATATGCCCAGGACTTTTTATAAATAAAAAAAATCACGTTGTAAAAAATCTACAATACTAGAACTAGCCCAGATAAAGAAACAAAGATACAAAGTTAGATGATGCAATACATACCTGCTGAATCCAAGATAAACATATATCGGACAAGTTTTGCTCCATTAGAAACTCCGCAACAGCATGCAAAATCTCACTTGCTACCTCACTTGAGAGTTGATCAATTACAGGGCCAGATCTGTCCATTAGCTTCACAAGCAAGTTATCATCCCCAGTAGACAAAACTTCTGCAAAAGCTGAATCCATGTCACCCACGTGAAATGCATCCATTGCATTGCTCCAAGATGTCCAGACTGGGTCACGCTCTTGCACAATATTGTCATCCCCTAATGCCTCAGCCGTCAACTCTGGAATCCCAGCTCTTGCAGTTCGAGCAGTTCCATTGTCCTCACCAGCCACCCGAATTGCTTCCAAGGTTGCCTCGTCCTTTGAAGCTTGCCAGACACTTCTTGCAGAAGGCCCCTCCCCATACCTAACAGGTCCAGCTCCTTTATCCCAGGCTCTCCTGCTGCCAACCTGATCGTTCTCATTTTCTGATTTGGGTGACCTAACATCTATAGAACCACCACCTGGAGCTCTCCTAGATCCCATTTGCCCACTTTTCCCATAGGAGTGGAAGCCCCAACCTTCAGAAGCATCAGATCTCCAAGGAGGGCCCCTACCCCTCATGCCAGAAGCAATACCACCAGACGAGGAAAACCTTTCGCCAAAGGGAACACGCCCATCCCCACCCCTCCCCACCTTGGCACTGGAGTAGTCAGAGAAGCCATTATACTTGCTTAGATGTCTATTAGAAGATCCCTCAAACCCCACCATAAAATTACCACCTCTCCGACCAGCTGATATTGACAAATCCCGTGCCATATCTTCAACGACTCTCTCAAGACCACGTACTCTACTCTCTAGAGTCACCATGCTATCATGAGACCCACCCATGAAATCCTGCATTATAAGATAATGTTAGGAAGAAAACAGATATAGGAACCACTTTTGCCATGCCACTTAACTTAGCAGACCTGCAACATGTTCATTAGATGAGCTTGTTGCCTCTCCAGTTGTAATAATTGCCTCTGGATAGCCAACCAATTCCCTCTGTTATTCGTAAATCCCTCAGACTGACCATCGGTTTTCGAGAAACCCACACGAGTACTTGATGATTCCCTCTGATTTAAATCACTCCTATCAGCTATATCTCGTTGTCTAGAAAATGTACCGGCAGTTCCCCTATCAATGTTACGATATTTGAAGAGGACAGATCCATCATCTGGCTGGCAGTGACCCTTTAATCTTCCACCTGAATTGCTACCATTTGGCTCCGATTCTTCCTCATTATGTGTTTCAGAGGTGTTGAGACATCTGCGTGGGACCACCACTTCTACAGGCAAATCATCCGAACCCCTTGTTTCAAGATTGTGGAAGAATTCTGGGTTCAATTCTTTGTCAGTCAATGCCGGTGCCTTCTTCTTTAGTATCCCAACTGCTTTATCTAAAATACTGGTACTCTTCACTTTGGAAACAGAATTATCAGGGGATGGTCCACCGGACGAATCCTTTGCCAGGGTCTCGGTTCTTCTCCCACTAGGATTTGGAAGGTCCTTCTCTGACAAATCAGCAGTTTCAGAATTTTCAACATCTGAAACTGGACAGAAGAAAAACAGTAAAAAATAAGTCAGGAAAAGGCTGATTAAAGAACCATTAAAACGAAAAATATGTTGCTGTATTGGTTACCATGAGATGAAGTTTTCTGGTTGTCTGCAGCTCCATCTTCTTTTCCTGCAATCTTCTTCCACAGCTGCAATGCCTCTGCCATACTGTCTCTTGCAGGTTTTATCTGAAACATAAGGCAATCATGTTAATTTTCTTATTAACTTGGAAAAAAGTAACACTGTGTTTGGTATGGTGGGAAATTGGGTGAATGGAAAATGGAGGGTGGAAAATAGGGGGATAGGAAAGCTTTTCCATTGTTTGGTTTCAAGGGAAAAGTTGAAGGAAAGGAAAACTCAGTGCAAAGAAAGGGCAATGCTATATGGACTTTATTTAGTGACCCTATCATTCTCTGCCATTAGATTGATAGTAGACCTCATTATTAGTTGGGACCCGCTATCAGTTCAATGACTATGATCTATCATATCACCAAATAAGGTCACTAAATTAGGTACAAAAAGTATTTCCCGGAAAGAAAAACCATTCTGTCCAGCAAAATTTGTCCATCCAATTTTGGGCGGAAACTGGAGAAAAAGTGTAGGCTTTTGATAGTGGTTGAGTTAAATTACCAGTATACCCCTAAATTCAAGTCCTTCCAAATGTGTGCACAATATGTCTTATTTGATGAGTTTTGCTTGTAATTAGCCACGTGTAAGGTGAGTAGGTCTCCATCTCAAGCTTTGTACTTGATCAATTGAAAAATAAATCTTAATTGGACGTAATTTTGTATCCATACTTTTTCACTTGTGAGCATACATTGTTTTTCCAAACCAAATTATAAAGTGTATTTTTATAGCTAAAACTCAATTTTATGGGAGGATATAATAGTAAATTAAATTTATTTTTGTTTTCTTTCCTCTCACTTTCTCTTCAATNTCAGACGAGGAAAACCTTTCGCCAAAGGGAACACGCCCATCCCCACCCCTCCCCACCTTGGCACTGGAGTAGTCAGAGAAGCCATTATACTTGCTTAGATGTCTATTAGAAGATCCCTCAAACCCCACCATAAAATTACCACCTCTCCGACCAGCTGATATTGACAAATCCCGTGCCATATCTTCAACGACTCTCTCAAGACCACGTACTCTACTCTCTAGAGTCACCATGCTATCATGAGACCCACCCATGAAATCCTGCATTATAAGATAATGTTAGGAAGAAAACAGATATAGGAACCACTTTTGCCATGCCACTTAACTTAGCAGACCTGCAACATGTTCATTAGATGAGCTTGTTGCCTCTCCAGTTGTAATAATTGCCTCTGGATAGCCAACCAATTCCCTCTGTTATTCGTAAATCCCTCAGACTGACCATCGGTTTTCGAGAAACCCACACGAGTACTTGATGATTCCCTCTGATTTAAATCACTCCTATCAGCTATATCTCGTTGTCTAGAAAATGTACCGGCAGTTCCCCTATCAATGTTACGATATTTGAAGAGGACAGATCCATCATCTGGCTGGCAGTGACCCTTTAATCTTCCACCTGAATTGCTACCATTTGGCTCCGATTCTTCCTCATTATGTGTTTCAGAGGTGTTGAGACATCTGCGTGGGACCACCACTTCTACAGGCAAATCATCCGAACCCCTTGTTTCAAGATTGTGGAAGAATTCTGGGTTCAATTCTTTGTCAGTCAATGCCGGTGCCTTCTTCTTTAGTATCCCAACTGCTTTATCTAAAATACTGGTACTCTTCACTTTGGAAACAGAATTATCAGGGGATGGTCCACCGGACGAATCCTTTGCCAGGGTCTCGGTTCTTCTCCCACTAGGATTTGGAAGGTCCTTCTCTGACAAATCAGCAGTTTCAGAATTTTCAACATCTGAAACTGGACAGAAGAAAAACAGTAAAAAATAAGTCAGGAAAAGGCTGATTAAAGAACCATTAAAACGAAAAATATGTTGCTGTATTGGTTACCATGAGATGAAGTTTTCTGGTTGTCTGCAGCTCCATCTTCTTTTCCTGCAATCTTCTTCCACAGCTGCAATGCCTCTGCCATACTGTCTCTTGCAGGTTTTATCTGAAACATAAGGCAATCATGTTAATTTTCTTATTAACTTGGAAAAAAGTAACACTGTGTTTGGTATGGTGGGAAATTGGGTGAATGGAAAATGGAGGGTGGAAAATAGGGGGATAGGAAAGCTTTTCCATTGTTTGGTTTCAAGGGAAAAGTTGAAGGAAAGGAAAACTCAGTGCAAAGAAAGGGCAATGCTATATGGACTTTATTTAGTGACCCTATCATTCTCTGCCATTAGATTGATAGTAGACCTCATTATTAGTTGGGACCCGCTATCAGTTCAATGACTATGATCTATCATATCACCAAATAAGGTCACTAAATTAGGTACAAAAAGTATTTCCCGGAAAGAAAAACCATTCTGTCCAGCAAAATTTGTCCATCCAATTTTGGGCGGAAACTGGAGAAAAAGTGTAGGCTTTTGATAGTGGTTGAGTTAAATTACCAGTATACCCCTAAATTCAAGTCCTTCCAAATGTGTGCACAATATGTCTTATTTGATGAGTTTTGCTTGTAATTAGCCACGTGTAAGGTGAGTAGGTCTCCATCTCAAGCTTTGTACTTGATCAATTGAAAAATAAATCTTAATTGGACGTAATTTTGTATCCATACTTTTTCACTTGTGAGCATACATTGTTTTTCCAAACCAAATTATAAAGTGTATTTTTATAGCTAAAACTCAATTTTATGGGAGGATATAATAGTAAATTAAATTTATTTTTGTTTTCTTTCCTCTCACTTTCTCTTCAATAACAAATAATAAAAAATTAATCCTTTCAACTTTCCATCCATCGTACCAAACAAACAAGAGGGAAAAAGTATTTCTTTCATTCAAGGATGGAAGTCTTTCCCTCTTAATTTTGCNATAACAAATAATAAAAAATTAATCCTTTCAACTTTCCATCCATCGTACCAAACAAAGAAGAGGGAAAAAGTATTTCTTTCATTCAAGGATGGAAGTCTTTCCCTCTTAATTTTCCNACTCTACTCTCTAGAGTCACCATGCTATCATGAGACCCACCCATGAAATCCTGCATTATAAGATAATGTTAGGAAGAAAACAGATATAGGAACCACTTTTGCCATGCCACTTAACTTAGCAGACCTGCAACATGTTCATTAGATGAGCTTGTTGCCTCTCCAGTTGTAATAATTGCCTCTGGATAGCCAACCAATTCCCTCTGTTATTCGTAAATCCCTCAGACTGACCATCAGTTTTCGAGAAACCCACACGAGTACTTGATGATTCCCTCTGATTTAAATCACTCCTATCAGCTATATCTCGTTGTCTAGAAAATGTACCGGCAGTTCCCCTATCAATGTTACGATATTTGAAGAGGACAGATCCATCATCTGGCTGGCAGTGACCCTTTAATCTTCCACCTGAATTGCTACCATTTGGCTCCGATTCTTCCTCATTATGTGTTTCAGAGGTGTTGAGACATCTGCGTGGGACCACCACTTCTACAGGCAAATCATCCGAACCCCTTGTTTCAAGATTGTGGAAGAATTCTGGGTTCAATTCTTTGTCAGTCAATGCCGGTGCCTTCTTCTTTAGTATCCCAACTGCTTTATCTAAAATACTGGTACTCTTCACTTTGGAAACAGAATTATCAGGGGATGGTCCACCGGACGAATCCTTTGCCAGGGTCTCGGTTCTTCTCCCACTAGGATTTGGAAGGTCCTTCTCTGACAAATCAGCAGTTTCAGAATTTTCAACATCTGAAACTGGACAGAAGAAAAACAGTAAAAAATAAGTCAGGAAAAGGCTGATTAAAGAACCATTAAAACGAAAAATATGTTGCTGTATTGGTTACCATGAGATGAAGTTTTCTGGTTGTCTGCAGCTCCATCTTCTTTTCCTGCAATCTTCTTCCACAGCTGCAATGCCTCTGCCATACTGTCTCTTGCAGGTTTTATCTGAAACATAAGGCAATCATGTTAATTTTCTTATTAACTTGGAAAAAAGTAACACTGTGTTTGGTATGGTGGGAAATTGGGTGAATGGAAAATGGAGGGTGGAAAATAGGGGGATAGGAAAGCTTTTCCATTGTTTGGTTTCAAGGGAAAAGTTGAAGGAAAGGAAAACTCAGTGCAAAGAAAGGGCAATGCTATATGGACTTTATTTAGTGACCCTATCATTCTCTGCCATTAGATTGATAGTAGACCTCATTATTAGTTGGGACCCGCTATCAGTTCAATGACTATGATCTATCATATCACCAAATAAGGTCACTAAATTAGGTACAAAAAGTATTTCCCGGAAAGAAAAACCATTCTGTCCAGCAAAATTTGTCCATCCAATTTTGGGCGGAAACTGGAGAAAAAGTGTAGGCTTTTGATAGTGGTTGAGTTAAATTACCAGTATACCCCTAAATTCAAGTCCTTCCAAATGTGTGCACAATATGTCTTATTTGATGAGTTTTGCTTGTAATTAGCCACGTGTAAGGTGAGTAGGTCTCCATCTCAAGCTTTGTACTTGATCAATTGAAAAATAAATCTTAATTGGACGTAATTTTGTATCCATACTTTTTCACTTGTGAGCATACATTGTTTTTCCAAACCAAATTATAAAGTGTATTTTTATAGCTAAAACTCAATTTTATGGGAGGATATAATAGTAAATTAAATTTATTTTTGTTTTCTTTCCTCTCACTTTCTCTTCAATAACAAATAATAAAAAATTAATCCTTTCAACTTTCCATCCATCGTACCAAACAAACAAGAGGGAAAAAGTATTTCTTTCATTCAAGGATGGAAGTCTTTCCCTCTTAATTTTGCTTCCTTCCTATTTTCCATGCCTTCTAAACAAACGCATCATAAAATTTCGATGGAGTGTCTAGTACAGAATACAAAAAGGAAAACATACTTGACATACAACTATTGCCTATTGGTCACGTATTGGCCTACTTTTCCATCAAGCGCAGATTTAGCTTCATTGGTAACAAAAGCTATTAACTTTTAGAACTGCATAGCCACAATTACATTTTGCATGAATCATGTCGAAGGACTTGTTCTCTGTCCATTCAAACTTTACATGTAACAACAAGGTGTATCTGGGAACCAGTAAATGAGGAACTCTCGGAAGAGTATCCATCATCCTTTGAAAAACATTCGGAAATGAAACTGAAAAATAGAGGATTTTAAATTCATGCTTGAAAGTGACATGTCTTTTGCCAAGCATTATCCCAAATATGCTAATACGTGCCCCCATGCCTTCGAATGCTTGGGTGAGGGGTTAGTTCAACTTTACAATCCATTACTGTACACATGGTTTGTGTTCAACCATCATGGGAACTGTAAAGGTGAATGGCTTAAGAATTGATGAACCATTTAAGTTCAACTGTCAATATATATACATATATACAAGCCAAATTAANATACTGGTACTCTTCACTTTGGAAACAGAATTATCAGGGGATGGTCCACCGGAAGAATCCTTTGCCAGGGTCTCGGTTCTTCTCCCACTAGGATTTGGAAGGTCCTTCTCTGACAAATCAGCAGTTTCAGAATTTTCAACATCTGAAACTGGACAGANAAGTAATTGCAAGTTTCAAATATTTTGATGTGACCTACACTCAGGCTGTGAGAGTTTCTATGATGTTTGAGCATAGTTTGCCCAAGTTCTTTGTGCCATTCCTATCCTCCCGAGGTTATGTTTTTATGATTATGGGCTTGATCATAAATTCNGAAAAATATGTTGCTGTATTGGTTACCATGAGATGAAGTTTTCTGGTTGTCTGCAGCTCCATCTTCTTTTCCTGCAATCTTCTTCCACAGCTGCAATGCCTCTGCCATACTGTCTCTTGCAGGTTTTATCTGAAACATAAGGCAATCATGTTAATTTTCTTATTAACTTGGAAAAAAGTAACACTGTGTTTGGTATGGTGGGAAATTGGGTGAATGGAAAATGGAGGGTGGAAAATAGGGGGATAGGAAAGCTTTTCCATTGTTTGGTTTCAAGGGAAAAGTTGAAGGAAAGGAAAACTCAGTGCAAAGAAAGGGCAATGCTATATGGACTTTATTTAGTGACCCTATCATTCTCTGCCATTAGATTGATAGTAGACCTCATTATTAGTTGGGACCCGCTATCAGTTCAATGACTATGATCTATCATATCACCAAATAAGGTCACTAAATTAGGTACAAAAAGTATTTCCCGGAAAGAAAAACCATTCTGTCCAGCAAAATTTGTCCATCCAATTTTGGGCGGAAACTGGAGAAAAAGTGTAGGCTTTTGATAGTGGTTGAGTTAAATTACCAGTATACCCCTAAATTCAAGTCCTTCCAAATGTGTGCACAATATGTCTTATTTGATGAGTTTTGCTTGTNAAAATAAAAATAGAATGGTTACAGCATATCTATCAAACTTTGACACGGCCGAAAAGTGTTAGTGATAGGATAAGTAAGACAAACAGATCATGAAATTCTAAATGAAGTAATTGCAAGTTTCAAATATTTTGATGTGACCTACACTCAGGCTGTGAGAGTTTCTATGATGTTTGAGCATAGTTTGCCCAAGTTCTTTGTGCCATTCCTATCCTCCCGAGGTTATGTTTTTATGATTATGGGCTTGATCATAAATTCTTATTTCTATTTTCAGAATTAAATTTGCGTCCCTTTCTGTGGGGGAAAAAAAAAGAAGAGAAAAAGAACTTCTACAATCATCCATGCCAGAAGCAAGCCATTATTCTCATCCATTCTCCAAAACTTGAAATTCAAACATACAAAAGTGAATTATGTATTGATGTTAAAATGAGGAACCACTGTATATCTTTTAATATGCATTATCCTAGGAATGCGAACTTTTGCCTCATGCCCAAGATTGGACAATTCTATAAATACACATAACCATGAATTCCAACATGACGGAATCGCATGAAAGGTAATGTCAACATAGATATGTAATTCAAATTCAAAGAATAGGACAAGGAATGTTTGGAAATGATACAATGACAGACTCCCACTGAAAAAATAATTTAACAAGGTAAAAAGCACAAGTGCTGGTATTTACTTACTAGTTATCTGGCCTCGTGATATCTGCAAAACTGAAATAAAACAACTATTGGGTATACAACATGCATAAGTACTGGTGCTAAGTGTAAAGAAAGGAGACTTTGAATATTAATCAAACCTTGTCAAACCGACAAGCCTCGAGCACTGCCAGTGTAGATGCAACTCCTTCTGTGGTAAAGTTGCTTGAATGCAATGCTAAGGTACTTAACGCATCAGCTGCTGCTTTACGTGTTGCCCAATCTGAACTGCCAAGAGACTCATGAGTGCTTTGTAGCAATGGTTCCNGTAATTAGCCACGTGTAAGGTGAGTAGGTCTCCATCTCAAGCTTTGTACTTGATCAATTGAAAAATAAATCTTAATTGGACGTAATTTTGTATCCATACTTTTTCACTTGTGAGCATACATNGCCCAATCTGAACTGCCAAGACACTCATGAGTGCTTTGTAGCAATGGTTCCAAGCTTTGCGGTGCAATGGCTCCCACCTGCAACAAGTTATAAGAAGATATAAACTGAATCCATCCACCTGCAACAAGTTATAAGAATTTNCCAAGCTTTGCGGTGCAATGGCTCCCACCTGCAACAAGTTATAAGAAGATATAAACCGGATCCATCCACCTGCAACAAGTTATAAGAAGATATAAACTGGATCCATCATGAGGCTGCTAGATGTCCCAGACTGATCATGAATAACACTGACTTTTTACTTGTTGAGCTCAGTTGACCACTCAATAAGTCAACGCTAAGCTGAGACTGGCTCCTTGCAATCTAGTTATTTCACATGGTCATGTGATGGAACTTACTTAAAAAATGCGGTTAAATAAATTTGGTGGGAAAAAAGGAAGTACAAGTAGTCATGTCATACTCCAATTGAACAAAAGAGAAAAAGAGAATGCATCATAAGTTCATAACATAAAAGAATATATATATATATATTTTTTTTTTTGGGGGGGAGGGGCATATTCATCTCGATTCATCATAAAACATTAAATATATTACCGCCAGACAAAGTCATACACTTCACCAGTTAGTCTAAAACAATTCTCACTGATTTCTAACAAAGAAGCCAAATTATGCATAAAGTGCACACATGCCCTCTAAAGATCGAACTATTCTGAAACACTTACTAATAGGATCATGCTCAAAACTATACCATACTNTTACCGCCAGACAAAGTCATACACTTCACCAGTTAGTCTAAAACAATTCTCACTGATTTCTAACAAAGAAGCCAAATTATGCATAATAGGATCATGCTCTCTAAAGATCGAACTATTCTGAAACACTTACTAATAGGATCATGCTCAAAACTATACCATAGTNTTCGTCACTCAAACTCTTTCAATATATATATATTTGCATAACAATTGACTCTTAAAATAATTTGATAAGAGCCATGTAACAAAACCAATAATGTATTATCTAGTCATTCACATCCAAACAATATATGACAATTAATATAATAATCCAAAACCAATGAACATAAAATTAATTTTTCTCAAATAAAAATATCATCCAAGAAAATACAAAATAAGTGTATGAAACAAGTGTTTTGCCACTGAATAAAAGACAAGTNCTCTAAAGATCGAACTATTCTGAAACACTTACTAATAGGATCATGCTCAAAACTATACCATAGTCAAGTTGATTTCAGTGTTTTTCATGAATCACATAAGATGATGGAGATGTGACCTTTTGAGCTCCAATAATGTGGCATAAGTCCATTTGACTGATACTTTGACTCTTGAATCAGGCAGGGTTGGAGAAGCTACTGTAAAATTGCATTTTTTTTGTACCACTAGAATTCCTCAGCAATCAAATATATCATAAATATTAATTGCATTGTCAAATCAGACTCTATTCAATATAGAATTCTATTCCTACAGCAATCAGAAGAGAACATACGCGTCATTAGAATATCCGATGTTAAAAAACGGAGTCAAGATTCCAGATTCCAGATTCTCTTTTCCTATAGTTCCTCATTGTCTAACAAAGCATATAATTTCAACTAGATCATCAAGTTTAACACAATGTAAGTTAGGGTTTTAATTTTTAAAATCTTAGCCTCTCAACAATCAAACATAGCATGATTTTCAACTAGAGGAACAAAACTAAGACAACTAGTGGCACAAAACTAAGACAACTAGTGGCAGGAAGAATAGCAAATCAACACATATAACTAATTAGTACGCATACCAAACAAAACATCTGCATTGAACACACCTGAGACAGACTTGCAACAACAGCAAAAAGAGCAGCCTTTGCCAAGAAATTGGGATTATTAAGGTACTTGCAAATCCTAGGACACAGCTTCTGAAACGACGAGATAGGCGGGTCCGAAGCACATTCCACCATCTTAGCCATACACATTGCAGCTCCACCTTGTACATTCTTGCTATTCTCATTCATTGCCTCAAACAGTGGCTTCACAAACAGAGAAACCACATACCCAAGTCCCACATTATCACCCTCACCCTTCAGATACTGCGACGACAACGCCCCAATCGAGTCACGGCAAGCATCTCTGACCCCAGAATCCGAATCTTTGAGCCTCTTCACAATGTGGGCAATGACTTTTGTCCAATGGGTGGTTGTAGAATCCGTATGGGTGGCACATAGTACGGTCAACAGGCGTAGAGACTCTTTCTTCACAATGGGCTTGGGGTCATTGGTAGCGTCGCAGAGGCAGTTCAGGAGCATCGAAACGCCATCGTTCGAGAGGGTTTGAATGATCTTCTCCAGGTCTTCGATGGCGATCTGGTGGGTGTCTCGGTCGGAGAGCTTGGATAGAGAAGTAAGAATTCTTTGTTTTAGCTCCACCATGGCCAAGTGCGAGGTCAGAGAAGATGATGGTCTTGAAGGTTGTGGGGTTGTATTTGAAGATTGATTTGGAGGTTTTGAAGGTTTTGAGGATTTGGGTGCTTGGGAAGTCATTGTGGGTCTCGTTGAAACGGCTCAAATGGTGTTGCAATGCAAAGAAAGATTCAAGATTTGAACACGCAGGGAGAGAAAGAGTAATGAGAGTACCAACTACAGTGGGTGTTTGTCAACTCGTTGTTAAGATTTCAAGTTTTTCAGAGAGAGAGAGAGAGAGAGAGTGGCGTGAGAGTTGAGGCTATTCAAAATTACCCACCAAGAAAGCAAAATCAAAGCTGCTTGGAAAGGAAAATGAGATCTGCCATTCAATTGAACCAAAAGCTATATTTTTTTTGAATAAATGTGGAGAGATCTGATTTCAATTTCACATGAAGGTGTTGGATTGGATCAAATCAAATGATATTTCATATGAGGTAAGCTCACCGTTAAATTCATGTACCAAATATAAAAATGAAGTGGGTCCCACAACAATTGGTCTTAGAACTTCTCAAAATCCGGGTAATTGGAGAGTGTCTTGCGAATATTCAAGTCAAGTTTCGTAAGTTGAAGTCTACGTGTCGAACTTATTTGTTTTAAACGAGTTTTGGCCGTTGACGTCGATGTTTTTGCCGTTGATGTACCCTGTTCGACCCCAGTGAGTGACCACCCAATCCGACTTTTTAAATCGATGAAACTTGAAGAGAAAAAAAATTAAAGAAAATAGCTTTTAGGGTAATATAAGAATTTTTCAAAAAATTTGATTATAAAATTGAGTTTTTTCTTTAGAGGAATTGATATTAAATCAAGTTTTTTACTCAATTTTTTATTAAGCTTGAGTTTAGGTCAACATTAGAGATATTCTAACACCGATTTTTGGATGGTTTGGTCTAAAACATTATTGAATAAATATGTATTTACACTATGGTATCAATTTTTTTTCAGTACTATATCTTTTTATTTTATCTAATTATATAATAACACATGTTAATTTTATTATATTGTTTCTTCATTTTTTAAGATCAATTATTAACTTAATGCAAACTAAGATCAAGCGAAAGCGAAAGAAATTTATTTTTCCTTATGGTACTAATTTGATACCATAGTCATAANCCACCATGGCCAAGTGCGAGGTCAGAGAAGATGATGGTCTTGAAGGTTGTGGGGTTGTATTTGAAGATTGATTTGGAGGTTTTGAAGGTTTTGAGGATTTGGGTGCTTGGGAAGTCATTGTGGGTCTCGTTGAAACGGCTCAAATGGTGTTGCAATGCAAAGAAAGATTCAAGATTTGAACACGCAGGGAGAGAAAGAGTAATGAGAGTACCAACTACAGTGGGTGTTTGTCAGCTCGTTGTTAAGATTTCAAGTTTTTCAGAGAGAAAGAGAGAGAGAGAGTGGCGTGAGAGTTGAGGCTATTCAAAATTACCCACCAAGAAAGCAAAATCAAAGCTGCTTGGAAAGGTAAATGAGATCTGCCATTCAATTGAACCAAAAGCTATATTTTTTTTGAATAAATGTGGAGAGATCTGATTTCAATTTCACATGAAGGTGTTGGATTGGATCAAATCAAATGATATTTCATATGAGGTAAGCTCACCGTTAAATTCATGTACCAAATATAAAAATGAAGTGAGTCCCACAACAATTGGTCTTAGAACTTCTCAAAATCCGGGTAATTGGAGAGTGTCTTGCGAATATTCAAGTCAAGTTTCGTAAGTTGAAGTCTACGTGTCGAACTTATTTGTTTTAAACGAGCTTTGGCCGTTGACGTCGATGTACCCTGTTCGACCTCAGTGAGTGACCACCCAATCCGACTTTTTAAATCGATGAAACTTGAAGAGAAAAAAAATTAAAGAAAATAGCTTTTAGGGTAATATAAGAATTTTTTAAAAAAATTTGATTATAAAATTGAGTTTTTTCTTTAAAGGAATTGATATTAAATCAAGTTTTTTACTCAATTTTTTTATTAAGCTTGAGTTTAGGTCAACATTAGAGATATTCTAACACCAATTTTTGGGTGGTTTGGTCTAAAACATTATTGAATAAATATGTATTTACACTATGGTATCAATTTTTTTTTTCAGTACTATATCTCTCTATTTTATCTAATTATATAATAACACATGTTAATTTTATTATATTGTTTCACATTGTTTCTTCTTTTTTTAAGATCAATTATTAAATTAATGCAAACTAAGATCAAGCGAAAGCGAAAGAGATTTATTTTTCCTTATGGTACTAATTTGATACCATAGTCATGACCAAAAGTATATGCCAAACATTTTGTCTCCATTATTGTGGAAAATATCTTATGGTACTATAAAAATTTATTTTTATTTACATATGAAAAAGTTAACAAAAAAACTTAAAAGATTATAAATTCTATCGTACCTTCTCGGAAGTGATAAATAAACTTAAAAAGTGAATTCACTTCAAAAATTAATAAATTTTACACAAAAAGTGGTATAAAATAACTAGAAAAGTGGTAAAGAATACAAATACCGAAATTTTATTTTTCGGTACCATATTCAAACCCAAAAAATAACGCACGGAACTTTTTTCTTTTTAAGACATAGCAAATGGGATACTTAAATGAGTGGTAAAAGTAATTAAAATGATTATTTTTTCGTAAGTAAATAAACTTATTAAACAAAGAGAACCGGGTCCACACCATGCACAAACGTGGCTTTTATGTCGGATCTTGTCTTAAACTTCGTTTTGATTGTTTCTAGACACCGTCATACATTAATATCAGATAAATAAGCTGACATATATCTACCTGTGAGGCTTTAATGGCACAGTTTTTTGTTTTTAAATCCACAAGATAACTACGACACTCTCACTTTTAAATGGCACAGTTTAATTGTAGTAGTTGCAGAGTTTTTGAGTTTTTCTTGGTGGGTTATGCCTGTGGGAAGAGATTTTAATGACCCATCTCCTAACTCGTTAAGACCTCCGATTAATTTTCACTGAGGCTGCTTTGTTGGTACTCTTCTATTCTCTCTCTTTATGTTATATGTGTGTGTGTGTGTGTGTGATCAATCTTTGTAATCTCTTCTTAGTTTAGATCACTATGTGTTTGCCTCCTGCATTATTTGCTGAATATTGGGTATAAGGTTGATTTATCTTATGTTTTATGGGTATTTGTCATGATGAAAATGAATCTGGATTGAACAACCTCTGCTTTGCAAAATATTTTGTGTTTAATGTTAAAGCTATAAGTTTGTGTGATTAAATGGACATTAGGGTTTTTCATTATGCTGATCTGTTTTTGTTGGCATTAGCTTGGAATTGCCAAATTACAGCATTCCAAGTTGATTTTTTATGATTTATTGATTTTGTGGCCAAATTTTTGCTTGAAGGTGATATTTTCTTTCTATAAACAGGCATTATGATTTTCTTTTCCATTTTCCCGGAAAGTATAATTGTTTTTCTCGTGTGTGTGTGAGTTTTTCTGGGTTTTGGTTGGCGGTGGGGAAGAAGTTATGGGAAGTGGAGCTTGATTTATCTGTAATTTCTGCGTGCAATCAAGAATGCTGCAGTTAGTTACATATTAATTGGTGCATATCCATTTATAGTGACAGTTGAAGAGTAATAGACACAGCTTTATCAGGTCTTCTTGTGTTTTAATGGCACTTCGTGTTGGTTGTTCCAAAACATTAAGCATTACTGCGATGGTATGAATCAGCCTTTTGATGGTATTTAGTTGTGTTACTACTGAGTAATTCTGGTGGGCTTTTGGCTTATAACTGTAGATTTTTGTGGCAATCCTGATCAATAGCCCGAAAATTTTACTTGTTAATAGGATGTGAAACCTTTTCTGGCCAGATTTAATTTATGGTCATGGGAATATTATTGTTTATAGATTTCTTTTACAGTATTCAATGCATCTAATATCCATTTGTTATATCAAAAGAAACTTCTAGTTGAAGTCCCTCAGATTTGTACGACCCAAAAATCAGAAATTGTAAAATTTCCTGTCTTTGCGCATGTTCCATCTTTGTTAATCATAGTTATTTATTTATTTTTTGTTGCTAAGAAACTAAAGAAAAAAGTATGAAGTAGAAAGAAGGCGACAAGAAATCCGCCAAACTACAATAAACAAAAAAAACACCAAGATACTCATAACTAATCATAATTGTTGCAACTTGGTTTTACGAAGAAGATGCTTATCAAGATGTACAATCAGTCAATGTAAATTTCCACCCCTTGTATATGTGGGGGAGGCACCGAGTACATAGACGAGGCGGTCCTGGGAACTATTTGGCTTTGTTGAGGTTCCTCCTTTCGCTTTTAATTGTAATCAGAACAAGTTATCACCCTGTTATATCTATCAGCTGCAAAGCTAAGTATCATCTCTTTCTCTGTCAGGGCTTAAATAGTTGGCAGATATTGATACTTGATAGAAGAACCTTCTTTTAGCTTGCTAGTTCTTGTCAACATTGCAAATTTGGACAGAAACTTATACTACAAAGTGTAAAGAAATTCACATAAATTCCACTGTATTGCAATTTTGGCTTAAAAATTCAGGCTTACAACGGTTCTGCTGTCTATTAGGATCTTGGACAGCTTGGATTTAACATTTGTTGCAACCAGATGTGGAGGTCAAGAAAACTTTTTTTTTCTTTCAGAAGAATCTGGCTGAGACCTTTGATTCAGATTGAAGAAGAACATGGTTCAGACAATGGAAGCTATCCAGGGTGGTAGAAGATCCATCAGAGTGGGAACCACAGGGACTATCAGTGCCCTGATGTCAAGGGAACTAGAATCCTCTGAATCGGCTACAACTAGAAATACATCTCCTACAGTTTCAGTTTTAGTTCCCAGTGGTGCTAATATTCCCAAGCCACTAAAGCCAATAACATCAGCGGATGATGCAAGCAGTAGTGGCAGTGGCAACAGCATTGATCATAAAAGCCCTGAAAATGTTCGGAGAACAAAGCACTACAACCGCAAAACCCATCATATTCCAATGCTTGGCTCAGACAATATTTCACTAGATGGAACTCCTATTAGAAGAAAACCCGACAAAAATGGCTCCAACATAGTCGAAATAGTGGACATTAAATGTGGGAATCGGGATAGGACATGGACGACCCCTATAACAAATCGACTCAAGAAGCTTAGTTTCTCAAAGCTCTCCGAGAGTGTTGTCTAAGCCTGCAACCTTTTCGCGTCAGCTTTCAGATTTCTGTAGTTGAATCCTGAATTCACACTTTGTCGATTGTCAGCTACTTCCACCACGGAACACGTGCATGGTATGAGCCTACTGCCTCCTTTCTTCTTTTTGGGGGTTGTGGTCAAGGATGCAAGCTTGGGTCTGGAAGAACTACAAGTGGAGGCCATGTCTGTGACCTGACACACAGACTTCCGAGAGCTATCTTGGCAGCCAAATTCAAGCTGGCTAAAGTGCTCAATTTCTTTCATTACGAGGGATCCAATGGTGCCTCTGGTTCCTATCTCTACCGGATATTTTGCAGCCATTTTCTCGGGGATCATTGCTGCAATGGTGCTGGATTTATGCATAATCTTTTGTATGGTCGGAGGGAAGGTGGAGACTCGTGGTCGAACAGAGGTGGTTTTGGGTCTTGCCTTGGTGGGGGAATTGCTTAGAATCGGGGACATTTTAATTTGGCCTAATACTCAAGTGTTTCACATGAATTCTTTGACTTATATTGTGAATTGGAGAGCATGTCTTGCTGAAGGATTGGGTGGTGATATGATCACCATATTCATGTGCTTTCAGTGAAAAACATTTAAGGTGCTTTGACTCCTGGACCCTCGTCTAACTACTTGGGCACTCTGTCCCCCCACCCCCCAAACACACACACACACTCTTGATTAAATACTGATATATATGTTGGTACTGTCGTATAACAGTGTCATTATGCGCCATTGAACCTAACGTCTCATAATATGACCCTATTGGTATCAGAAGGTGATGTGAGACTCAAGTACTGAAAGATGAGCTTTTGCCTTTCACTACCCTATCGAAGTAAGCTGTTATTTTCTTTCCAATGTCTTCAATGGCTAGACAAAAAGAAAGGGTGGGTTCTGGTTCGGTGGAACTGCACCGACCAAGTGGCGAGTGCTCTTCAGTTATGGTGAGGAGCTTTGGTCTTGCAGGTCCCTTCGGTTGTGAGTTATTTTCTTTCAAAATTCTTGACCTGTATCATGGGAAAGATATGATTGACATCCTCAGATATCATGTGAACTTTACATTTCCATTCTGGATCTGTAGGAGGGTATTGAAGCATTCATTTGTTCACATAAAGATCAGCAATGGAAAAGTGAATAGAAGAAAATTAAGACATGGAGAAAATCACAAGTCATATCAAGTTGTCGTTTAAAGCATAGTTATCAGAATTGGATTAGATATCGAACCGACAGAGAGATCAGACCAATGGTTTACTGGTTCAACTATTAGGTCAACTAATTCAATCGGTCCAATCTGATTTTGATAACAGTGGTTTGTTTGAATGAACTTTTGTGGAAATGAGTGGTTGTTTAATTTAAACAGGATTAAAATAATTATCAAGGGTTGTAATGACTTTGAAAACATTGGTTCTTTTGCATGAGATTGTATGGGATATTCGGATAGTGAAAAATAATTTTTGATATTATATTAAAAGTTGCAATCCATCAAGGTCAAATTATAACTTAAATAGACCAAGCCGACACCTTATAGCAAACATCTTGAGATTGCTTTTTGATGATGCAAAAAATTGAGAAGCGTAAGATGGGTGAGTTGAAGAGCTCCTCTCTTTTGGAATGGGCAAGGGGTATGTGTATAATAACAAAAATAAAGAACATGAGAAAAATAAATAGTTCGTCAAGCTGAAAAAGTTAAACTAGTAAATTCTAATAGATTTTGTGTTACTTGGAGAAGCAAAAGGCAATTACAGTTTTCAGTTAATATAATTGCTCATCATTTCTGGGGGGGCAAGGGTTTTTTTTTTCAAGTTCCCCAGAGCCTTTGGTAACACAGCCAAGACAATGAAAGAATTTTAAGCTCCTGAGGAGATAAAACGACAAAAGTTTTGAGAATTTAAAAGAAGGCCACGACGAGACTTATATACCCCTTAGTCTCGCATGGTCCTCTTGCCATGATGGGATCGTTTCCTAATTTGTTATGATTTGAGAGAGAATATTTAATGATTAGAGACTATATTGTTTAAATATGACATGATTTTCTAAAAGTTGTTGGTGCGGCATCGAAGACTCGTGCCGGGATAGGACCCAACGAAGTGATTCCCACTTTTTTCCTTCCTTAAGCTTGTTGGGGCAGTTGGTATGTTTTATGGGCTTTCTCGTTTAGTGGGCCGACCTGGCCATGGGTAGGAGTGAACCCTCTCTGATGGCTAGATTAGGCTTATCCTTAGGCCATTTTCCTTTGTTGTATTGGCATGCCCAATCTCGTTTGGGCTGGGCTGTCTCTATTCTAACAAATGTATCAGGTTTGGTTCAAAAAAGACAAGTTGCTGATGTCTCATTTGCTTATAGAAAATACTATTGTATCAATTTTTTTTTTTCGTTTCTTTTTTTCCTTTTGGGCAAAAGGGAGTATAGGGTAATTCTATAGGACTCTAAAATTTTATTGGTGCTGTACCAAAAATTACTATTTTTTAAGGTCAAATTATCACTATTTGAGATATTTTATGAATTTTTTTTTTTGATCACAAGAGAACTACAACACTTCTACTCATAAGGAGAAGTGAGGCAGCCTCTATATAACTCATACACACAACCTAAGACTATCCGATGTAGGATAACCCCAGATATTTCATGATCAATTATAAAATATTGTAATCTATTATGACTGTACTTTAATCAATTGTCATTTTACATTTAAAAAATTATAACTTCTTTGATTGATCGTGCATTAACGTGACATTAAAAGACTTCCCGTTGTCTTCCTCGTACTCCTTTATTTTTTCTCCTCATTCTCCTCGTTTTCAATGAGGATAAATGACAGTGACACCCTGCGACCCGTTTTGGGATGCCCAGAAATTGAGAATTGGACAAAAGTGAAGAGAATGGCTTTGAGCTTAAGGTTGGTTGTACAATTCATTGAACTGGGGCCCACTACTCCGTTTAGTCCAGCTGTGAGAACACCACCAATGAATTAATACTATATATATATGTGTGAATCCATCCCAATAACATCAAATCAGAGTGGCGCAGCGGAAGCGTGGTGGGCCCATAACCCACAGGTCCCAGGATCGAAACCTGGCTCTGATAGCTGCTCAGAAACAAGCTTCAAATCCCACTCCTTTTGGGTATTTTTTTTCCTCTCTCTCGATTCAGCTAGAGAAAGTATTGTAGACATTACTACATGAGGTCAATAAACCACTTGTGACAATGGTTGCCATGCAAATCTATTTGCAAGAAACAGCAAATCTGTTACAATACATTTCATAGCTCTTAAAAAATGGAGAATACAGTGAAGGATTTTTTGTATAAAGAGAAGACTACTACACATTCAGCAGCTCTTATCACAAATTTATAGCACAAAACCATAATGTAAATTTATAAATTCACTCCCTGCTTGAAATAAAGCTCAACAAGCTTCTTCAGAGTGTCAAATACGCTGGTAAACGGATTAAATTCAATAGGGCCCTTCAATTCTAGATCAGGAAACTGGTTTGTTAGAGCCTGTTGCATACCAGACATGGACATCATTGCAGCCAGCTGACTATTAGACATCACCTCACAGTCTTGTGGAGTGTCCTTGATTTTGCTTGGTTCATACCCGAAGTTTGCTAAGATTGATTTGTACTTCTCTATAAATCGTGGTCCAGGATCAGGTGTCCTTGAGTAGATCTGAAATTTTGGAGACATGTACAAAATGTGGTTAGTTAAACACTAATATGAGATATCACTATATCATATAACAGTTGACAAGTTGAACAAAACCATGTAAAGCTTCCTATGATTGACAGAGGAGTAACAGTTTTCAAGTCCAGGAGAATAGGTTCTCGTTGGGCGAGATGAAACTACGCCTTTGCCACTATGACTCTACTTCAGGCATATGGGAACTATCTTCATTAAATGTACAGTTACCTGAATAAAACTTGTGTCTTTTGCACCAGAAACAAGGGCGAAATTGTCATAATCAGTGGCGATCACATCATAAGGCTCTTTAGGAATGAATGGCAAAGTAGGAAATCGAAGGTAACACTTCTCTTTAATCATCTCTTGTCTTTCTAGATCAGTTTCTTTTTTCTCCAAATCTTCCTCTGAGAGGCACTGAACCTTTCCCCTTATTCCGGTAATAAATCCATCAGGTCCCCCATGAACACAAAAGGTGTCGACCTGGATAGCACGTGCATCCATATCAAATGTATATATGCCCTGCAAGTTAATAGAATGAAATATTTTGCATTCAGTATATAAAGAACATCACAGTTTGAAGATCCATATACCTAACAGCAATCAGAAATGCCAATACGTGATAAATCTCTAAATAGTACCGGACCAAACAACCGGTCCCTACTAGTATGGACTGTAATGTCTCTTAATTAGAAAACGGGTGCCTTGTATGCTTCAGTTAGACAGTTTGGATAAACCACGTAACTAGTGTAAAGTGAAGGAAAACAGAAACTAGTACTATATCTTGCATGTAAACCTGATTCTGAAGGATATTCATTACAGGCCATAAGCACACCTCCACTTTGCATTTACCTGAGTGCAGTGGCAATCTTCTTGACCTTGACCCGCAAACCCGCGTTTAAGTGAAGCTACTTCAAACCATCTTCCCGAATATCTGACTGGGTCAAAGTTCTGTGCTGTCATTCCTCTCATCATCATCAGCTTCCCTCCTCTTTCATCAGAACCCTCATCGAGTGGCAGAGTCAAATTATTGGTGGCGTTTGCAAGCTGGAATATACTATGATTATGAGGAAGATCTGCAGCAACAACCTGCCAGTTAGAATTCAATGGAATCATCAGACCCCTCATCAAATGGGAGAGTTAAACTATTTGTGGCATTTCCAAGGCGGAAAATACTATGATAATGGGAAAGATCTGCAGCGATAACTCAAGTCTCCTGAAGTTCTCGATTTCAACTCTTCTTCATTCCTGTTTACAAGTTTGTATCCTCAAACTCCTAAAAGCTCAAAAATAAGATTTAAGAGTAAACCTATTCAAAACTACCAGCAGCGAGACCAAGTTCTATACAGATGTAGCATCTGCAGGGATGGAACACACCAATAATCAAGTTGGTCATAACTCATAAGCCTCAAAACAATGATACATAGTCCAGAGTTTTCTTCCCTCACAAACTTAAAAGTTTTTGATAAATTTAAACAAGGAACCAGTAAATGTCAAACTATCTGGCACATTGGAAAAACCAAAAAGGCTCATAGTTGGCATATTAAATTAACATGTACAATAAATTAATTTGACCTGGTTTATAAGAATAATGCAATGCTGCTCACTAAAATGTCCTTACCACATGATGACCTAGATCTCACATTTTCCTCTTAAACAATGATAAAAGCTTGTAGTATTCAGGGAACTAACACACTAACCTGGTTAGTTTGAGAGAGAAATAAAATTGATGCTGCAAGCCCTGGTAATACATGTCTGCCTGCAACATTCCAGGCTTTCCAGCCAATAGGGTGTTCAAAAGAACACTTCAACTTCATTTTTCCAGGCAATCCCCTACACGAAGAGAAGAAGAAATGCCACAAATATTTGCAAACAATAAAAGGAAAAAATATGGACTTTGATAAAAGCAAGCAGACAATGAATGGTCCAACTGGGCTTCAACATAAAACTGTTGAGGAATTTCTAATCTCAAATGTAGAAAAAAGAAAAGAGGTGATGAATGTGCGAAAAAAGACAATCAGAATATGTTATCTCTGTAAACGTTGACATTAGTATGATACAATAATTGCTGCTAAGAGGCATACAATGCAGAACTCCAACTTAATACATGCAATAGATATAATGCACTAAGAATGCCAAGGTGTTGCAAGCCATGAACACATTAAATATCCAGAAAATATTCCAAGCCACATAGATTATATTTTATCGTGAAGAAAACAATCGTCCACACAAGAATAAGCAAGCTTGAATGAATGATGAAGCCAATTGTCCCACCTTAAGAAGAATGGTATACGACAAACAATTAGATATGGTTGCGGGAGCCAGATTTGCTTTGATCTTTTAGAAGACGAGTTTTTCTTGTTTGTACTCCTCAAATATCAGAGAAAGTCTTGACAAAGATAGCATAGACCCGTCAATTTTTTTTTGGCATAATCATCTATAAAGTACAAGGCAACCCTATACTAACTTACTCATTCCCGTTCTCTACAATAGTGCTGAAGGAGCCAATTGTGCAACCTTGCACTAAACCAAGATGCTTCCTTGCAAAATTCAGATGAAAATAAAGGGGAAAAGCAATAAAAGAACTACAAAATACCAGAGTTTATATGCCTTAAAGTTAAAGAAAGAAGTAACTAACTATAAGCTATAAAGCCTTCACCATGACTTCCCAATTTCTGCTCATATGTGTCCTCACAAGAAAGCTACTCTGATAACATTTAATTCCAGAATGAATATCTCTTTTTATATCCCATCTTAATGATACATATCGTCGTCCCCAAAACCTTATTATTCATGCATTACAGAATTCTCCATCTTTGATGGTAAGCAAAGGCTATTCTCATGGTGAGAAGTGAGAACACCCTAATGATTTAAATGGATATTAAGGTAGTACTCATGACTCACTCCACTCAGTTCATTCTGGACATACATCATGCCATTTTTCAGTCAAAATTTGCCAATCATATGAAAATTCTACATAAAGGGGACATAGAGGAAGTAGTAATATATCTTCGAAAGCAAAATAAAATAGAAGATTCAAGAACTGAATTACTGGGCAAGGGAAAAAGGGGGCAAAGAGCAAGACATACTGTAGAGAATAAAGCAAGCAATGGGGAATTATGATTGTGGAGAACCCAGAGAGGAGGTGAGGAGAAGTGTTGGTACCTGGAGATGGGTGGTGGAGCATGTGACTGTGAGTGGAGGAGCAATGGTGGCGATTGTCCAGCTACAAGATGACGAAGTACCATGTTTTATCCAATCTCTCTCTTCAATTCCAGATCTTCCAAGCAAACTATCACCACCACGCAATTGTGATTCCGGTGGAGGAGACTCCTTGTTGCTGATCAGAGTAGAGACTAGAGAGCTTGTGAAATGAAGATTATCGTACAGATTAATTAAAGATAATTTTATTCACACCATATTCACGAGGAATTGATGATCTGGCCTTAAAGAAATTATCACCTCATCTTTGTTACTACTAGCAATGCACCAAGCATATTAAAATTTTCGTTAAAATATTTAATAAAATACATAAAAGTTTAATTATATAGCTAAATTAATTATTATTTTATGTTTATCATACTTAAATTATTTCTATTGTGAATAAAGATAAAAATACACTTATATCAATTTTTTAGTACCTGAAACAGACAATGTATCTTGAAGGATTAAAGTCGAGTGTGGCCTATCTTATTTGCTTCTTGTAAATCCTTTTAATTAATCAATAAAATTACTCTTTCCTTATAAATAATAATAATAATATTGTATCAATAAAATTATCGATGTTTATTAATATTGAAATTTTGAAAAAAAATAATAATATTTTTATATCTCATATTAAGAGTAACATGATCATCTAAAAGTTTTGTAAAGATAAAGATATACTATTAGTTTGTTATTTAAGTATGGAGGGCTATAATGGTAATATGCATATTTAAACACAAAAGGGCTTGTTAGTTTTTATAGTGTTTTATAACAATAAAATTGTGAATCAAAATTTTTCATGTAAGATATATTTATTAGTCGTATAGATATAAACTTGAAATGTTTTTTCTTTTTGTCTATTTTTTTTAATTCAACGATAAACTAGTTCTCTTCGATTTGATCATAAACAAGTTATTCACGTCGCATAAACTAATTTTCTCTTTGGTTTGATCAAAAATAGGTTATTCACGTTGAAATTAAAGTATTTATGAAAGATAAAATTCTTATGGCATGAACATAAAGAATTACCAAAATTTAAAGGCATCTAAATTTACAGTTTGTTTATGTTATCACTTAGAGCTTGTTTGGATAAAATTTTGGGGAGGGTTTTGATTGACTTCTCCAAATTTTTTCAAACTCAAACCCTTTTTTAAGAAGACATACACATGTAGGATTCACAGATATATTATAATTATTAACAATTATTTATTATATAAATGACTATTTTACCTTTGATTAATTCAGTTTATACCTATGTTAAAGAGTACAATTGTCATTTAAATGCTTAACCTCTTACCCTTGTTCTCAAACTCACTCCCCATGAGTTTGATAAAACCCATGATCTAAGGTTTAGGTCCGGGCCTTGTAGCAGACTGGGCTTGATAACCCAAGATCCAAATATTTATCCAAACATGAGTTTTGTGTGTGGTTTGGACTATTTATTCTCAATCCATTTTCCAAAATCCCCAAAACCCACAAAACAAACAGCTCCTTAAACTATTCCTTGAGTTTGTTTCTCCCTATGGACTATTTCTTTCTTTGTGTTGGGTAAGCATAGTTAATTTTCTTCTTACTTTTTCTTCCAACTTAATATGATTTCATAGGACATGTTATGTACGAATTTTCTTTTTTCTGTTTCATTTCCTCTACTTATTTTTTTCCTGAGTTTTGTGGGTAAGTGTATTATACTCCAAATTTAAGTTGTGTTTATGATGTGTTCACAAGTAAACACAAGGTCAAGATGACTAAAAATAGTTAGGGGAATTTGGAGCTCGGTCCCCCTTTTTGGACTTATTTGAACTTAAATTCATTAAGAAAATTTATTTATTATAAAGTTCATTTTTTGTCAATTTTACCAAACTATTCATTCCTTTTTAATAGTTAAGTAAAACTAAAAATTAAAAACTCTTAAATTTTAGGAGTTTGATTTACATTAAAAAAATTTCTCTCTCATATCTATCTATATTCATATATAGGTTAGGAATATATCTCTCATATATATATATATATATACTAGTTATTACCTGTATCTGAAGGCACAGAGTAATAAAAAATGATAAACAATAAATATATTTGTACTCATATTCAAAATTAAATTACAAATATAGAGAAAAGATAAAGGAATTTAAGCATCGATTAGTAGTAGAGGTGAAAGGTGGTGGGCGACAGTGATGGTGATAGTAGGAGACGGTGATGGTTGTGGTGGGTGGCAATAATCGTGGTGGCGATGGTGGTGGTGGTGGTGGGGGTGGGGGTGGTGACAGTGACGGTGGTGGTGTGGCTTGGGCAGTGGCGGTGGTAGTGGTGGTGGTGGTGGTGGAGGTGGAGGTGCAGGTGGCAGGGGCAGAGGTGGCGGTGGTGGCAGTGGCGGGTAATGGTTGGGTAATTTCAAACACTATTTTTTTTAAAGTATTTATGAGAAATAATTTTAAAAAGTACGTTTAAAAAGACATTTCAAATAACTAGTTATTGTCTGTGTCTGAAGGCACAATGTAATAAAAAATGGTAAACAATAAACATATTTGTATTTATATCCAAAATCAAATCACAAATATAGAGAAGAGAAAAGAATTTGAGTATCGGTTTGTAGTGGGGGTGAGAAATGGTGGGTGACAGTGGTGGTGGTAGGAAACGGTGATGATTGCAGTGGGTGGCGATGGTGGTGGTGGTGACGACGAGGGCGACGATGGTAGTGATGGTGGTGGCAGCAGCGACAACGACAATAGTGGTGCAAGGTGAAATGATAATTTTAGGGGTATCATTTATTTTACCCCTAAAGTTATACTCAAGAAATCATTCACCTTTTTCATTATGTGCACTGCCTTATGCTCATTTTTATTAGTTAATTTTTTTTCGGAGTACAATGTATTCAAGCATGGGCAATAACTCGATAAACATATTTGTATTCATATGTTTATTGAATGATTAGCACACAAGAAATAATTCGAGTACAAACATACTTATTGTTTACTATTTGTTATTACATTGTGCTTTCAAGCACAAGTAATAAAGTACTTTTAAAAAGTCACTTCAAATATATTTTTAGGGCCTATTTTTTCTATTAAATTTAGCGTGTTAATATTAGCCGTTAGATTAATTTTAAAATAAATTTTAAAACGATATCAACCGCGAATAGGAAAAGTCATTTTGTTTATTTTTTGAGATTTGAATTGTAAATTACTTTATTATATAGATATATATAGTAACATTAAAAATAAAAAATAGTAACATTCAAATACAAAAAAAAAATTATCATTTAAACACAAAAAATAATATCCTTTAAATACAAAAAAATAGTAGCATTTAAACATAAAAAAAATAATAACATTCGATATTAATATTTTAAAAAAATAATAATAGTAACATGTTCAACAAAAATAATAACATACTTAACAAAAATAGTAACATCCTTAACAAAAATAGTAACATGCTTAAAAAAAAAATAGTAATATGGAATATTGAACAAAATTGAAAATAAATATATCAGCATTCAAACCCATAACCAAAGGAAAAAATCTCAAATTCGTCAGCATTCAAAAAAGTAACACTGAAAAAGTAATAACATATTCAATAAAAAATAATAATATGATCAATTAGGAAAAATAGTAACATTGTCAATTAAAAAATATAGTAACATGGTCAATAAAAAACATAATAATATGAAACATTGAAAATTTTTGGAGATTATTTATCAAAAAAAATAAAATTGGGAATCAAACTAATAACACATTGAACAAATTTTTCAACTTTTTCTTTCTCGAAAAGTAACGACATAAAAGTTCATGATGACTAGAACGCAATAGAAGATATGGTAGTTATTAATGATATTACAAACCCTATTGATTTTGATACTATAGAGGAAGAAATGATATCTAAGAAAAAAGATTTATTGTACTGGAGTGATGATCTTCTTCTAACGAGAAAGAATATAAAATTTAATTTTAATTTATGAGTGAATTAAGAAATAATAATTTCTAATTTAAGATATTAATTTAAAATTACTTTCATGGTCTTTAAGATTTATATAATTGAATACAATAACAGTGTTAAAAAATATTTTTGGGATTTAAAGAAATTATGAACTTAATTACTTATTAGTAAGATAAAAAAAAAACTTATCACCAAATAAATTTCCTTGACGAACTCAAGTCATTATAAATCCATCCAGGAAGACTCGGCTCCAATTTTCAAAAATAATTATTCATTAGGAAGCCTATTTTTTCATCTCAATAAAGAAAGTGTTATTAGTATGTGATCATCAAAGAATTATACCAAGATTAAAATCTCATCATAGCACCAATAAAGAACACAATTGATCATCTCTGACAATTTAAAGCAAAAAAAAATAACAAAGACGTAATGTGCTAAAAGAAAAGGAATGTGAGCTATGTTAAAATATAAATACTCAAATTACACTCCCTTTAACAGTGTAACTTGAGTACTTATACTTCCCAACTGTTAAAAGAGAGTGTAACTTGACATGGGATGTAATGTAACCCTTACTCTGGTTATCATGCCTCTAGTAAAACTAGAACAAAAAAAGAGAATAATTAGCAAATTACATCTTATAAGGCCAAAGAAAAAAAAACAACAAAACAAAACTGCCTCTTAGCATGAACTATTCAGAAGAGACTATTCTTCAAGTTTCCATGGGTAAGCAAACCAAAAAATGGATCTCCCTTGTCACCATCATTGGTCCCTGTTTCCTTCATGTGAAAATCCAATTCCTTTGTTGTCGATGGCGCAGGTCTTTTCACAGATACAAATGCAACTTTACTTCTTGACCCAGATCTAAGTTGTGAAGGATTTGAACGAGGGGATGAACCTGAACTCGTAAGCAAGCCACTTTCTGGGGAAAGGTTCGCCATGGGAGGTCCTGCAACACCTGAGCCATCTGCAAGCTGTATCCCATTATTGCTCTCAATGACAGGACCCACCAATAAACTAGTATCATCTTGCTTGATGTTAGCTAGACCTTCTTCAGAGGCAGAGCTCAAGTTCGTCTTAACAGATCCATCATCTACACAACAGAATCAAATACAACATGACATGAAAGATATTAGACAAATGCCACAATCTAGCGAGGTACCAAAGCTAAAGGGAGCCACAAAGCAGGAAATGAGGAGAAAACGGTCAACCATTTACTATTTTATTGCGCAAGTCCCTAACTATTTGAATATGGTAGTGGCCATTCATCTAAGTTGTACCACATAGCAATCTCTCAACAAAATACATGCAAGTGTATGACGTTCACCCATAACAGGAAGGTTATACCAATGCACCCTAGAACCAATATGATGAGCCACAGCTGTGTTTGTACGAGACACTGTCCCAAAAAAGTGGTCACAGACCTTCAGCAGAGAACCTCTTGAAAAGGATGAAAAGGCAGAACCCTGTCTGCAACACCCAAATTTTCTACTAAAATTACATTCTTCCAGTGCCTTCTATTGTTGTCCCTCACACTCAACCTCACACAATGACATGATAAGCAAAAACCTTAATCTACCAAAACCTAGCATGGAACACAGAAGATTGGTGTAACTGCAACTGCTATTCAAATACTGCAGAGACCCTCATGAATCTGGCCTTGCTTTCTCATACCCTTCGCATGAATGAAAATAGGCAGTAGATAGGGTCATTGTGAATCTTCAACCACTATTTTGATCCTAGAAGTAAATCCATGATACAATACATTTACAGAACCTGTATATTTATTTTGTGACAGCATAAGCCGATAGCTTTAACAACAATTGATCACTATTACAAGTTCCCATGTCACTATTACAATGAAGTCTAAACCGAGTCATAAGCTAAGAGCAAAATAGAACCCCAAAAAAGGACAAAGAAGAGTAGAACCTCAAAAGAGAGGGACACATAAGAAATCAAACATTTTCTGTGGAAGGGATTGACCCTCTGACCCCTGGCTTGGGAGTATCAAGGGTAGCCAATTGCATAAGTCAATAGCTTTAGAATGTAGAGTACTTCCAAAGAATACAATATTAACTGATATACTAGATAATTAGATTGCAGATTCGGGGACATTTAACCCAACCGATATACACCTGGTCAAATTTAGGAAATACTTAAAAACAAATGATACAGGCAAAAGAATCACTAGATGCCAAAAAGTAGAGAAAATGCAAAACACTATAAAGAGTCTGTCCAAAGCCTATAGGGATCTCAAATATAGAGGTCACGTAAGAACACACACAAGTTATTTCTGCAAGTTTTTAAAGGTAAAAATACTGAATAATATTCCACTGGCACTTTTACCTCCAAGCAAAACCTCAATGCTTTGATACTGTATTGTGGACTCTCCCAGAGAAATATCTTCTCCAATATTCTTTTCTCGGTATTTGCTTTCGCTTTTATTGATCCTCTCAACCAATACAAACTTATCTGTTTCCCAACCACACTCCAGGGAGACAGATTGCTCATTTATTGGGTAATACTCTCTGAAAACCTGCACAATGGTACACAAATAAGGGATGAAAATAATAGTTATAATGAAAAAGGCAGAGACAGATACAAATACAGATACAGATCTTTGTCAGAAGAATCCGCTTAATGTATATAGTGCAGATGAACCTCAAATCCTTCTTGATTTATTTTTACTGTCTGTTCCTTTTGAGAAAGAGAAGAAACCATGTTGAATACCAAAACAACGTCAAGTAAGACCTGTAGAAGGACAAAAAGAAAAAGCAAATCATTGAAAATGTAATTTTCACCACATCAGGCAACTTCAAGTGTGGCTTAATAAATTGTACTGTGTCAACATTACATACAGATTATAGAGATGTTATACCACTGTTTCATGAATAACAGATTCCTTGAGGATTGACTCCAGGCAATTACCAACATTTTAGAAAGAGCAGGGCCCAGTTCTATATAGCAAGAGAATTTTGTGGTACTGGACATTTCAGATCCGCGTAAGATACAAACAACCCTAATCTTTCCAATAGATACAAACATCTCAAGTCAAAACAAAAAAAAACAAATTAGAGGAGAGAAGACTTGAGAAGCCTTCCCTCCACACTTCCTAATTCTCTAGAATTCTGATTTTTTTAATTATGTCTTCCTCCAAACACATTATACCATGAGTCTTTTGTAATCACCTCTTAACTCCCCATAACTCCATAAGTACCCCCTATTTTTTCAAATTTATCAACATAAAATTATTTTTACTATTCAATAATTTAGTTAAATTTTTTTTTTTACCTTCTTATGTGATAAGATGAAACAGAAAAAATAAATTAAAAAATAATAGAATATATATCCCATGCATTGCCCAGGGCCATGACGCTACTATCTCATACAGAAATCAACAAATGGGCTTTGACTCATCATTCATGATCTTACAAGCCACACAAAACACAAAATCTAGCATTTCAATTCTAAGATTGTGCCAAAAGTGCATGATACTCACTTGCTGAACTAAAACTCGAAGGCGTCCAAGCAAAGACAAAATTGTTAGCGAAAATCCCATGAAAAAAGATCGAGCAAGCAAAGTAGATATCTCTCTGCTGGATGTTAAGGGGTAAAAACAGATGTTTGATTCTCTGAAATGATAACCACATGACAGCATCAATATACACTGTGTCAATAAGAACTATGAAACACCGAATGGTCTTCCATGTTTGCTTTGAGAGGAAAAAGAATGCAGCTAAACATAAAGGGATAGCATTACTAACTTTTGATAAAATAATACGAGGAGGAAACGCATGCCAACTGAACTTAACATGCAAATAGAATTTATTGAGAATCATCAAGAGTAAGGAAAAAGATAATAAAGAAACTTGAAGGCAAATAGACCAGGTACAAAATTTCTTCTGGGAGGAGCACTAACTAGAAGACTTCACAAATAAAAACAGTATAACACACCGGAATAAGAATGTAGAATTTTTTAAGTAAGCATATTTGAATTGGGGCAGAGGACAAGGAAAAAGGTGAATTGAAATAGAGAAAGAAGGGTGGAAAGGATTCTAATAACGCAAACATCTATAGAAGTTGCAGCCAACGCAAAAATGCATCGAAAAGAACCAACATGTTATGATAGAAGTTGCATCCAATGCACAAATACATCAAATCATAATAAATGCATCAACAAATCAAGGATACGTAGCAGCCTTCAACATCGGCTCAACCATCTGAAAAGCAGAACAGATAAAAATTAGGGGAATTCATAAAATTGCCTCAATGAGCTGACAGCTTGTCATAACACCCCACTAATAAGTGAAGCGTCCTCAGAGATTGATAATGAACAAAGGTCCATTGGGGTAAAGAAAGATAATACTTACATCTTCCTTAAAAAAATGAATACTAGCACTATTGACTGAATTTTTGATGTACAATTGCAACCATTTAAGAACAACCTGACATAGTTGTGCAAGAGTTTTGTTGTCTACTTTAATATGGGTAAGACTACCCTGTTTGCGGGGATAGCCAAAGTACTGTCTGGGGTTCAGGGGTGCCAAGAACCCCTATAGTTTGGTTTCATACAATTGATGACAATATAAACTAGGAAGTAAGGGAAAGAAACAAAAGAAAAAAGCCTTAGGTGAAGAGGTCCTTTAGTTGAATCATTTGTAGGATACAAAGAAAACAATTTTAAGGTCTGGTGTGCCCCCAGAATGCAATTTTAAGGTAGACTTTTAAAATTCAAGGAGACCAACTACAAATCATCCAATTGAGCTAATAATGAAAATAAATATAGCTTTAAGGGAACTCCAGAAAACTTGTTTTGTCCATTTCCTTCTCATATCTTTGTTCCTATCCTGCACCAACACCTAGCCTGAAATTTTTTGTTTGTTGTACATGTAGAGAGCTGCCACCATGCAAGGCAAGCAATTTTTTTTTGTGTGTGAGTCAATGGATGCAAAAGAAGAACAACATACCTGTGAGAGTAGGCGTGCAATTCCCAAAAAACGCTCCAAAAAATTAAATTTTCCACCATCACATCTTCTCCTCTTTAGACTGTCATATCAAGCAAAAGGAAACAAGTAAATGCTAAAACATGTTTTACATGGGCAATGCCAGAGAAAAATAGAAACCAAAAACCAAACCAAGCCAAGCCTTATGCCAGAGAAAAATACACTGTATTGATAATCAACCATCTACCACAAGACCAGGTTGTCTAATATCCTTCTAACTGCCTCCATGTTTTGTGCGCAAAAAATTGGAGAAACCTAAATGTAATGAGAATAATTGCACCTTCTAGGAGAAAAACTCAACATGGATAAATAGAAATTACACCAGTTTTTTCCATTACACACCATACCATGGATGAATAGGTTTCAACATCCCCCCTCCTAATCTAAAAACCTTAAATTATGCATGTTGAGCANTAAGCATATTTGAATTGGGGCAGAGGACAAGGAAAAAGGTGAATTGAAATAGAGAAAGAAGGGTGGAAAGGATTCTAATAACGCAAACATCTATAGAAGTTGCAGCCAACGCAAAAATGCATCGAAAAGAACCAACATGTTATGATAGAAGTTGCATCCAATGCACAAATACATCAAATCATAATAAATGCATCAACAAATCAAGGATACGTAGCAGCCTTCAACATCGGCTCAACCATCTGAAAAGCAGAACAGATAAAAATTAGGGGAATTCATAAAATTGCCTCAATGAGCTGACAGCTTGTCATAACACCCCACTAATAAGTGAAGCGTCCTCAGAGATTGATAATGAACAAAGGTCCATTGGGGTAAAGAAAGATAATACTTACATCTTCCTTAAAAAAATGAATACTAGCACTATTGACTGAATTTTTGATGTACAATTGCAACCATTTAAGAACAACCTGACATAGTTGTGCAAGAGTTTTGTTGTCTACTTTAATATGGGTAAGACTACCCTGTTTGCGGGGATAGCCAAAGTACTGTCTGGGGTTCAGGGGTGCCAAGAACCCCTATAGTTTGGTTTCATACAATTGNGGGATAGCCAAAGTACTGTCTGGGGTTCAGGGGTGCCAAGAACCCCTATAGTTTGGTTTCATACAATTGATGACAATATAAACTAGGAAGTAAGGGAAAGAAACAAAAGAAAAAAGCCTTAGGTGAAGAGGTCCTTTAGTTGAATCATTTGTAGGATACAAAGAAAACAATTTTAAGGTCTGGTGTGCCCCCAGAATGCAATTTTAAGGTAGACTTTTAAAATTCAAGGAGACCAACTACAAATCATCCAATTGAGCTAATAATGAAAATAAATATAGCTTTAAGGGAACTCCAGAAAACTTGTTTTGTCCATTTCCTTCTCATATCTTTGTTCCTATCCTGCACCAACACCTAGCCTGAAATTTTTTGTTTGTTGTACATGTAGAGAGCTGCCACCATGCAAGGCAAGCAATTTTTTTTTGTGTGTGAGTCAATGGATGCAAAAGAAGAACAACATACCTGTGAGAGTAGGCGTGCAATTCCCAAAAAACGCTCCAAAAAATTAAATTTTCCACCATCACATCTTCTCCTCTTTAGACTGTCATATCAAGCAAAAGGAAACAAGTAAATGCTAAAACATGTTTTACATGGGCAATGCCAGAGAAAAATAGAAACCAAAAACCAAACCAAGTCAAGCCTTATGCCAGAGAAAAATACACTGTATTGATAATCAACCATCTACCACAACACCAGGTTGTCTAATATCCTTCTAACTGCCTCCATGTTTTGTGCGCAAAAAATTGGAGAAACCTAAATGTAATGAGAATAATTGCACCTTCTAGGAGAAAAACTCAACATGGATAAATAGAAATTACACCAGTTTTTTCCATTACACACCATACCACGGATGAATAGGTTTCAACATCCCCCCTCCTAATCTAAAAACCTTAAATTATGCATGTTGAGCAAGTCGATCTTCCTTGTAACAATGTATTCTCCACGCAACCATACAAGTTTGAATAAGTTCCAAGTATCCTCTAAATCTCATGGTTGCGCGCCTCCATCTGAGACTCTACCCTGCCCATTGGATGGATGGTGCTTCTCTGTTCCACCCTTGCTAAGAGGCGATTCTTAATGTCATCACATCCTCACACTAACAAAACGCAAGAATGCGCAAAGGCAAATAATAAAATATCATTTCGAAATGGTCGAAACGTTTCCGTTTTCAAAGATAGAGAAACAAATCGGAGATTGAATCAAAATTCTAATACTTCAAGGTGTTTCGAAATATTTCGTTTTATTTTGAGATATTTCAACATATTTCTACTAATATTTCGGAATGTTTTGAAGTGTTTTAAGATATTTCTGTATCTTTCGACCAATATTTCAGAATATTTTGTAAATAGTTTTTTAANACAAATAAACTGTCAGTGATCATCAATAACAAGTATCTCTCTAAACTGTTAATGATCATTCATTCATAATTGCAAGGCTTGTTGTCCATTCAATCTTTGCACAAAACCCGACTTGAAAGACTCCCCTATGATCCCGTATGAGCCCACCTCTCCGGGTTAGAACTGGGTTTCCCTGGGCCGCTCCATCCATATTCAGCTTTAAGTAACCTTTCCATTCGGAGTTTCCAATGGACCATAATTTCAGTTTCTCAATGGTTTGGTGGACAAAGGGTTAATAACACAAGATTTCAAAGGCTCTGAAAACCGCCTGCTTGCGGGAGGTTTTTTCTTGGTTGAAAATGACTTTGCTTTGATGGAACCAAATGCTTGCACAAGTGGTAGGAAATAAGGTTGCCCATGTTAAGCTGTTAAACTTTGAATGGGCTTTAGAATGGATACTCTGTTTTCCACACAAACTCCACAGGATTGGTCCAAGGTAATGTGCATGGTGTGTAGCAAGGACTTAGTAGCAGCCTATCCCTCTCTGCTAACCAAAGGAAATGTTTGACCCTAGGTGAAGTATGTGATTTCCAGATCCATTCATAGGATATGCCTTGCCTTCCCCAGCAACTTCAATCAAATTGTAAGTTGTTTTGAATTAGAACTCCCTAGTGTCATCCCATCCCAAAATCCAAGAGTCAACCTTTTGTGAATGGGATGGATTGAGCTAACTTCTTTAATCTTCTTAACCATGGCACAAAATCACCATTACAATCAATATTTTATTTGTTTTTAGATACCCACATGACCTAGTTAGGATATTCAATTTGGTCACTAAAAATTTTGGGTGAAGAAGTTNACCATTACAATCAATATTTTATTTGTTTTTAGATACCCACATGACCTAGTTAGGATATTCAATTTGGTCACTAAAAATTTTGGGTGAAGAAGTTGGTCATCCCCCTAGGTACATCTTCAAAAAACACAAAAAACTTTAGCAACCGAACAAATATTTTCCAAGAAAACAAAATCAATGGAGTTTCATATAGTTCGAATATAAAGAATTTATATATTATTATTTCGAGTTTTTAAGTTGTAGTGTTACAAGAGACGTTCTTAACTAATCATTCACGATTTATTAATGATTTTTGTACATCCNTTGGTCATCCCCCTAGGTACATCTTCAAAAAACACAAAAAACTTTAGCAACCGAACTAATATTTTCCAAGAAAACAAAATCAATGGAGTTTCATATAGTTCGAATATAAAGAATTTATGTATTATTATTTCGAGTTTTTAAGTTGTAGTGTTACGAGAGACGTTCTTAACCAATCATTCACGATTTATTAATGATTTTTGTACATCCTAAATCTATCTTGAAACAAGTTTAAAAACATATTATTAAAATGATTGTGGATTATCCAAAAAATAATAGTATCAAAATGAAATTGCACATTAGTGATGAAAGCAAATTTCATTAATTTTGAGAAACTGAAAGCAAATAATTTCATTAAATTGTTCAATAATGATAAACATTGTCATGCACTGTCACATAGTCTTTTTCTAAAAGGTAGNGATTATCCAAAAAATAATAGTATCAAAATGAAATTGCACATTAGTGATGAAAGCAAATTTCATTAATTTTGAGAAACTGAAAGCAAATAATTTCATTAAATTGTTCAAGAATGATAAACATTGTCGTGCACTGTCACGTAGTCTTTTTCTAAAAGGTGGTAATCAATCAATCAAATTACGTATCCTTGTGGCTTTCATCATTAAGGTTTATGTGTATTTCACTCTCTTTTAATGTTGCAACACGTGTGTCAATTATAAATGACTCTGACAATAACATTCAAGATTCTATTACAAGGGAACCAAACCTAATCAATCATACAGCACCGGTAGATAATCAATAATGATAAAAATGAGTAATAAATTTTGATAAATTAATTTAAAATTTGATAATATTTTTTTAAAAAANATTATAAATGACTCTGACAATAACATTCAAGATTCTATTACAAGGGAACCAAACCTGATCAATCATACAGCACCGGTAGATAATCAATAATGATAAAAATGAGTTATAAATTTTGATAAATTAATTTAAAATTTGATAATATTTTTTAAAAATAAATTATGTTGTATTAAAAAAAAATTAATAAAAATATGCATAAATTAATCCGAACACCCCAACTATAATACCATCTAAAATGACTACATATGTAGGGATAATATAAACTACATTTTCCTCTAGGAGTAAATTCACTTACATCCCCGTAGCTTGCTCTAATTATAGAAACAGTTAAAAGGATCGTTTATACCATAGCCAATCCTCAACCCCCCCACCAACCCACCACGTTGGTGTTAATATTTGAAGGGTACAATCATCCTTCCTTTTGATTTTACACGCACACAAACACACCACACACATACAAATAGAGAGAAAGAACATGGGTTGAATTTGTTTACTGGCAGTCGGATTTTAAGCTCTTTTCCCTCTTATCACACTCAAATTTGGGTGTTGTCATATTGTGTGGTCGAGGCAACGGTGCAATAAGGTGGTGGGGGTAATTGTGTACTAGGGTAATGGCAAGAGTGACACATTATGTAACATCTCTGTGTATAATTTTATATGTTAGTCTTAGTGAGTACAATAACATGTGTAATATGTGTGTATATGTATATCACTGTTTGTCATATACATGGTGGGAGGAAAAGAGGAATCAATTGATGATGCGAGAAAAGATGGGTGTTCAGTTTCAATATTGATTTTATTCTTCAAAAAGATAATACAGGTCGTTTGGGTATTGAGTTAAAAGATATTTTACAAATGTATAACTAGATAGCAAAATAGTTATTAGAGGAATACTATATCAACTAGATAGCAAAATTGTCTTGAAGTTGATGGTAAGGTCCCTAATTCTAGGGCTACTATATTAACTACAAGTGAATGCAATGATATTTTACAAAATTAAAGAGGTGTATGTATAATTAAGGCAATTTATAAGGGACATAAGTGGTGTTTACCTTTTCTTTTGTCATTGTAAGTTTGGTACTTGCTTTTTCTAAAGTCCCACCAAACTCATGAAAAAGCTTATTGAACAAATACTAGTTATATATGAAGTAGGTTAGGTAGTTTTAAACCATGTATCCACCCCATGGACCCTCTCCAAGGGCCTCTCAACACCAATGCATCACCAAATGAATGGCAATTAACTCTAACTGATAAATACTAGTGGGGACTAGGTTCCTTTACAATCAAGTTATCAACCACAAAAATAATATTAGTTTAAATGAAGGTCTAAAAATTAATATTAATAAACTTGTAGTCGTCAAACCCCAATGATAACTTAAGTGATAAAAATGACGAGTTATAAATTCAAACGTTTCAAATTTAAATCTTAACAATCTCTTGAGACCAGGCATAAGGGATACCCTACTCCTAGTATATATGACTTGTCTTTGACCGGATTGTAAAAGAGATTAGTCAGGGCATGTGTAAATTGACCCAAATACTTCTGACTATTGAACCCAAAAAAAAAGTAGTCCTCCTATGCCATTGTTGTATAAGGGCAGTTTTGTGAACAAAAAAAATAAAATATAATGTCGAAGAAACCCAATCATCATAACTTGCATATATAATGCATCATTTAAATATGGATGATTCGGTTGGAGTCTTATGATAGTGGCAGAGGTGGGGTTTTTAACAAATGGGCATCAAAACTCCAAACATAGTTGATACTTTTTAATAATAGTGATAATTTAAATTGCACTTGATCGATCGGCGGAATCACATTTTAGGGGAATGTACCTACAATTTCTTAAGGATTTTTTTTATTTTTTATCATTGATAAAAAAAAAAAAAGAGTAAAGCAAGCAATAAAGTAATACCAAGGTATTTCAACATATATTGTTTTTTTTTTTTTGGTTGAGCAAAAAAAGTGGAAAGGGGTGACCAGCGTAGCAACTCCCCTTAGGCGTGACCCAAAGGGATTCTCACCTACTGTAGAATAATGTTCGATTTGAACCATAACTATTAACTTGAAAAGTGTCGAACCTATCACCACAATCCTACCAAGGCACTGGCGAACATTTAGTTTTTTCTCAACAACATTTGGTTCGCATCACTATAACCGCAAATGGGTTCAAATACACGATTATTGAGAGAAGAACATAAGTCTTATCCCAGTTGTTAAAGTCAACTCGACTGCAAACTCGGTGGTTTAAGTTATATTGTTTGATTGTTCTATGTTTTTTATTTGTTCAACTCTTTATGCTCCATTTGATTAGATGGAAAAGTGGGAGCATGAAAAGTTGAAAAGATAAAAAGTTAGAGGAACAAATAAAACATCACGTTTGGTAAGTAAGGAAAGTATGAAGGATGAAAAAGTGGATAGATTAATTTTTCGTCCAACTCACAAAAATTAATCCCTCTAAAATTGTAAGAAAAGTGCATGAAAAGTTAATTATTTGTATTGATATGTATCTTATTTGTCTATATATCTTATATATATATATTAATTTCATATAAAAATACAATGGTAAATATATGTATATATATTTTTAAAAATTTTAAAAATAAAAAAATAAAAAATTTTAAGTTAAAAAAAATATTTTTTTCATCTTAACTAAGGGTGAAAATTTTCGACTCAACACGATGACACGACTCGAACTCGATACGAAAATAAATAGGTCAACTCGCAACTCAACACGACACAATTTGTTAAATGAGTTAAATTAGATTTGATTAATATTCGACACAAACTCGTAATGACTCAACACGAATCTAACACAACACTACTCAACTCTATTGTCACCCCTAATCTTAGTCAGTACAAAAAAAAAGTTATTTTTATTTTCCAACCATCCAACCAAACACAAAAAAAAAAAGTGTATTCTTTCTATTTTTCATCATTTTTTACTTTTCATTCTCCCTATCAAACGGAGCATTTGAACTTTTCTTTAATAAAACAAGGTTTTAGAATCGCGGCCAGTACAGTATTCTCTGGGTCATCTGGTTGGAGAAAAGGTGTACATACACCTAGTTGTTATTCTGTAAATAGCTTTAGGAAAAGGCAAAGGAGATCCATGTCATTGTGATAGTGTTTGTAGCTTTTTATTTATCCCAAAATAGTTTTATAACTTACTTTCAATCCTCCAAACTAGTTCAAATGGGGGAGGCTTCATGAGTTACTACCTTTGAGTTCTCAAATTTTAGTCTCCCAAGGTACAATAGTCAACCCGATATGCATGGTTTGCAGGTAATTACGTATGTCAGAAGTTTAAATTTATAATTAATCTAATAGATTCATAGTTATCAACTAATATAGAAAAAAAAAAACAACCCTTCAATCTTTTGATCGTTTTAAACTCGGGTCAATAATTCCAAACACACCCATTATTTTCAAAAGTTAAATTATTTTTGTACATAACGGGTGAATTTAGATTTTTTATAATTCTGTAATGCTGACGGACGATTTGCATGTATTTCTTCGATTTGTTTTATTCAAACAAGCAAAAATCATAATTACAACATAAAATTCGGAATGGAGATAATTACCTTTAAACAGTGTTGCATATTTCGAGATTCCTAAAACCTTTCCATCCAAACTACCAGACGTATTAATTAATTAATTAATGCTGAAACTGTTACTTATTAAAGTTAAATATGAGCATAATTATTCAAATCGTACATTGACGATGTCATATCCATTTATCTCTTTGTTACCAGTTTATCCCTATACTATGAAAAGACCAAAATACCCCCAATCCATCGCATAAGAACTTGGAAGACACTTTCACTCCAAGTACCTCAGAACTACGTAGATGCCAAAGGGGGGCGGCAAATTGGACCGTCTTGGTAGTTGGTAACCATAAAAATATACCGGTCAACCGTCTCCTCCATAAGCACACCGTCCTAGTGCTTTTGGCCGGTGAATAGAGAAAGGTATGAGAAAACACCGAGTTTCCTTATACCTCCATGGCTCAGAGAATACGTAAAGCTACCGGAAAGATGACGCATCTTTGCCGGAAAATCGTTCACGTCAGAATCCGGTGGAGTATAGTCGAGAGAGTATCGGTTTTGGGGGATTTTTTCAGGTCCATTTGGGAAAGAATTGTTGTTTGCTCTATATGGAAGCCGAGTCGCTACCGGCGTTTGTCTCAGAGGTCGTCTTCTCCGGGAGTGGAGGCTATTGAGTCAGGTTTGGGTCACGATGATCCCACGACGACGTTTGGCGGGTATGACAGTGATTCCGACTTGGTTGCTTTGAAAATCAGTCTTTTGGGTGATTGCCAGATTGGAAAAACAAGCTTTGTGGTGAGTGGTTTTGTACTTTTGAGTCCTATATATATATTCATGTTTGATGTCCAAATTTGGTTCATCTGAGAATCGATATTCCAACTTTTTGAGTTCAACTCTCGTTTACGTTCCTTGAACCTTATCCTTGTCCGATACCTAAATGGATGGATCAAATTTCAACATCACTGATATCCGTTCCATTTTCTTTCTTCAAGATCAAATATATAGGTGATGAACAAGAAAAGAGATCTCTGGAAATGAAAGGATTAAACTTGATGGATAAAACACTATTCGTTCGAGGTGTTCGAATTGCTTTTAGAATATGGGACGTGGGAGGTACGCAAATAATTCTCTTTTTTCTTTTCCTTTTCCTTATTGTAGTATGGATATTGATCAATACGTTGTTTGAAAGTTGTGATTTTTCAGCTCTCCATATCATTTTGTATGTATGTATGTATGTGTGTGTGTGTGTATGTGTGCGTGTGTGTGTGTAAATTGATTAATATGCCTAATTTGTGTTGTTTCTATCTGGAATGTAGGCGANCTTACGCAGTACCCATAAACACAAGCTCTTCATCTACATCTGTTACTTATCAATTTTTTTGTGTGATTGTTAATTGCAGACAGCAATTCCCATATTAATTGGGACCAAGTTTGATGATTTTGTTCAACTTCCACCAGATCTGCAATGGACTGTTGTGACCCAGGTAAATGATTTACGAATAATCTAAAAGCTTCTTTTGCATAGTTATGCAGCTTCCATCATCAGCATCATGTGCAGGTTTTCCTCTCTAGTAATCAAATAGTTAATGGGTCAAGAATTTAGATTTTCTCCTATTTCGTTCAACTATAGACTACCCAGATATAATACATATGCTCAGGTATAGAGAATTTCACGTAAATTCATGACAGGTGATATATCATCTCTTAATGCGTGTGTAGCCCCACTTGTGATTTAGAAGCTACTGATTCAACTCCCAAACCCACGTCCACATGTATACTGAATGGCGTGTGAAAAGAATGTCTTTGGTAGACATGAGAGTCTTTTCATATATCAATTCCTAGACATATGTCCAACCACTAGCTAAAGAAAAAAGAAAGACTTATTACCATCTCTCTCTCTCTCTCTCTCTCTCTCTCTGTCTCCACCCACTTGACGTGGGGGATAAGCACAAGAAGGGAAAACTTTCATTTTTCAACAAAGTTGCAATTGGAGACTTTGTACAGACAAATCTTTTTCTTTACGTTGGAGTATAGACAATGGCACTTTTCTTTAAAGGACTTGTTCTATTTGATTGAACTTTAAACGTGTTACACAAATGACTTGGTTAAACTATGAGTATTTGTTGGATTTAAGTGATGATGCGATGCAGGCCAGGGCATATGCGAGAGCTATGAAGGCAGCCCTTTTCTTTTCAAGTGCAACCCACAACATCAATGTCAACAAGATCTTCAAATTTATCGTGGCCAAGCTCTTTAACTTGCCATGGAACTTGGACCGAAATTTGACTATTGGTGAACCCATTATTGACTTCTAATTTTTTTATTTTACCCACGTTGATGTGTAAATAGCCAGCAAAAAAAAAAAAAAGAGAATGAGGAGTTTGTTAATTCCAGAAAATTCACTCCCCAACCTGCATCTAGTTGATTTTTTTTCCTTTTTCCTAGAACAGTGTGTGTTGTTTTTTTTTTTTTTTTTTGGGGGGGGGGAAGAAAATGGGTGACAGATATCCCTAAGGTAGTATAGGTGTAGTAAATTATGCATCTAGAATCAACACCACCAAGTCTTTAGCCCTTGTGGAAATTCCAAGTCAATCAGATTTTTTCACAGGAAGTTAACCAATTTTGAGCTGTAATTTGAAAACTTTTCCACACAATTTGGAGGGATTGCGGGTGATTACTTGGAGCAGTCGACAAAATTGCAAGATAATCATTCCAAATCACTTAAAACCACATTCAGACTTGAAAAGGATAACAAAACAAAGAGAAGTCAAAAATCTCACCAATATGCTATAGTAGTCATTTAGTTGGAGCAGCAGCCATTAGATGTTCATCATCCAGCGATACTCTCGGCTGCATAACACATTGCAGGAACAACCAAAAAACTCAATTTAACTCAACAAAGTCTTGTCTCAACTACTTGGGATAAGGAGGAATAATATAAAAAAAAAAAATAGGGGAAAAAAAGTTGATAAAATGAACTCCAAAAAAAGTTTGTTTACAAGCAACGAGGCAAAAACAAGCTCATAACAACACTTCGGTGCAATCTAATTATCCAGCAGATGCAAAAAAAATAAACTTTCACCTTATTTGTAGCACCTATATAAATAAACAAGACACAAGTAATGGAAACAAGATATTGCCACCAATTGCTTACATTAATGAAAGTTCCATGTGCGCTTCCAAGATTCGTTACATTAGGCCTAGCTAATAGTAAGATTTGGATTCAAGGCGCTCATCACAAACTCATGGAAGTGACATAAGTTAGCTTAGAGCCTTATTCAACCTTGCTTCAACAAAATACTGTCAAGTTGCTCCTTCTCTACTTGCCTGACAAAAAAAGAAAAGAAGAAACTTTAAGAGGAAAGAAAAACTAACTAATATAGTACGCATGATGACAAACTAAGTATCATCTGAACTCATAACATGAATGATCAATTAAAAAAAATTTAGCATGGAGTTTGCTGCAAGATGGGTGATCCAAAGGGATGCCTGCTACCCTCCTCTCTCTCCCAAAAAGGAAACAGCTTTCACGATGTACACAAACGGGCTCAGTTCATCAGATCTACTTCNGTAAACTTGAGTTAACTTGACAATTTTATATATAAACGAACTGAACTTTACAAATTTGAGCCAAGCCTTTTAAGTTTGATTTTCAAAACAAGTTTAAAAAATTGTTCACATTTGGCCCGTTTAGAGTCGAATTCAAACTGAGCCCGAATAACTTGACTCAATTATTAGCCTTACGCAGTACCCATAAACACAAGCTCTTCATCTACATCTGTTACTTATCAATTTTTTTGTGTGATTGTTAATTGCAGACAGCAATTCCCATATTAATTGGGACCAAGTTTGATGATTTTGTTCAACTTCCACCAGATCTGCAATGGACTGTTGTGACCCAGGTAAATGATTTACGAATAATCTAAAAGCTTCTTTTGCATAGTTATGCAGCTTCCATCATCAGCATCATGTGCAGGTTTTCCTCTCTAGTAATCAAATAGTTAATGGGTCAAGAATTTAGATTTTCTCCTATTTCGTTCAACTATAGACTACCCAGATATAATACATATGCTCAGGTATAGAGAATTTCACGTAAATTCATGACAGGTGATATATCATCTCTTAATGCGTGTGTAGCCCCACTTGTGATTTAGAAGCTACTGATTCAACTCCCAAACCCACGTCCACATGTATACTGAATGGCGTGTGAAAAGAATGTCTTTGGTAGACATGAGAGTCTTTTCATATATCAATTCCTAGACATATGTCCAACCACTAGCTAAAGAAAAAAGAAAGACTTATTACCATCTCTCTCTCTCTCTCTCTCTCTCTCTCTCTCTATGTCTCCACCCACTTGACGTGGGGGATAAGCACAAGAAGGGAAAACTTTCATTTTTCAACAAAGTTGCAATTGGAGACTTTGTACAGACAAATCTTTTTCTTTACGTTGGAGTATAGACAATGGCACTTTTCTTTAAAGGACTTGTTCTATTTGATTGAACTTTAAACGTGTTACACAAATGACTTGGTTAAACTATGAGTATTTGTTGGATTTAAGTGATGATGCGATGCAGGCCAGGGCATATGCGAGAGCTATGAAGGCAGCCCTTTTCTTTTCAAGTGCAACCCACAACATCAATGTCAACAAGATCTTCAAATTTATCGTGGCCAAGCTCTTTAACTTGCCATGGAACTTGGACCGAAATTTGACTATTGGTGAACCCATTATTGACTTCTAATTTTTTTATTTTACCCACGTTGATGTGTAAATAGCCAGCAAAAAAAAAAAAAAGAGAATGAGGAGTTTGTTAATTCCAGAAAATTCACTCCCCAACCTGCATCTAGTTGATTTTTTTTCCTTTTTCCTAGAACAGTGTGTGTTGTTTTTTTTTTTTTTTTTTGGGGGGGGGGAAGAAAATGGGTGACAGATATCCCTAAGGTAGTATAGGTGTAGTAAATTATGCATCTAGAATCAACACCACCAAGTCTTTAGCCCTTGTGGAAATTCCAAGTCAATCAGATTTTTTCACAGGAAGTTAACCAATTTTGAGCTGTAATTTGAAAACTTTTCCACACAATTTGGAGGGATTGCGGGTGATTACTTGGAGCAGTCGACAAAATTGCAAGATAATCATTCCAAATCACTTAAAACCACATTCAGACTTGAAAAGGATAACAAAACAAAGAGAAGTCAAAAATCTCACCAATATGCTATAGTAGTCATTTAGTTGGAGCAGCAGCCATTAGATGTTCATCATCCAGCGATACTCTCGGCTGCATAACACATTGCAGGAACAACCAAAAAACTCAATTTAACTCAACAAAGTCTTGTCTCAACTACTTGGGATAAGGAGGAATAATATAAAAAAAAAAAATAGGGGAAAAAAAGTTGATAAAATGAACTCCAAAAAAAGTTTGTTTACAAGCAACGAGGCAAAAACAAGCTCATAACAACACTTCGGTGCAATCTAATTATCCAGCAGATGCAAAAAAAATAAACTTTCACCTTATTTGTAGCACCTATATAAATAAACAAGACACAAGTAATGGAAACAAGATATTGCCACCAATTGCTTATATTAATGAAAGTTCCATGTGCGCTTCCAAGATTCGTTACATTAGGCCTAGCTAATAGTAAGATTTGGATTCAAGGCGCTCATCACAAACTCATGGAAGTGACATAAGTTAGCTTAGAGCCTTATTCAACCTTGCTTCAACAAAATACTGTCAAGTTGCTCCTTCTCTACTTGCCTGACAAAAAAAGAAAAGAAGAAACTTTAAGAGGAAAGAAAAACTAACTAATATAGTACGCATGATGACAAACTAAGTATCATCTGAACTCATAACATGAATGATCAATTAAAAAAAATTTAGCATGGAGTTTGCTGCAAGATGGGTGATCCAAAGGGATACCTGCTACCCTCCTCTCTCTCCCAAAAAGGAAACAGCTTTCACGATGTACACAAACGGGCTCAGTTCATCAGATCTACTTCTTAGATGTACAATTGCAAATTACCGACATGAATTATGAACTTCAATAAGCAGAAAATTGTCTTACAAAACCAACATAATAAAGCAAAAACATTAGAAAATGGCAGCTATTATAAACATCAAGATGATTGGTTACTCATATGTTCAACATTGTTCAAAAAAAAAAAAACTCCTTTGTTCAACAGCCTATTTTCAAATCAAATAGCTACATACCTAAAAATCACCTAAATAATTGTTTATCAAAGCAAGTTATAAAATGAAACTACATAATTACCTAGTTTTCACCAATATCAAGTTTCTCACTAGTACACAACAATAGGGTTCAACAGAATAACAATTACAGATAAAAGGAAATAACATTATTATCCTTGTATTCATAGTCGGACCAAATACCAATTAAGTATACTCATGGTGTTAAGTTGCTGGAATATCCAACATATCATTTGAAAATGGTATTAATACTCGTCTTTCCTCGTACACCCCATTTGGTTGTCGTGAAAAGTAATGCTTTATTTGATACTACGGAAAAATTGAAGGATGAAAAATTTGAAGGATAGATAAAACATTATGTTTGGTAACGAAAAAAAATAGGAAGGATGAAAAAGCTGATGAATTAACTTTCCTACTAACTCACCAAAATCAATACCTTTAAAATTACGAGGCAAATTGGATAGAAAATTAATTATGTCTTAAAATGTACATTATTTGTCTATATATCCTTTGATATATACATATATCATATTTATCAATTATATATTATGTATACATTAATTTCACATATAGATATAATGGTAAAATATTTTTCATCCTACACTTTTCCATCCTACCAAACACAAAAAAAATAAATCTTTCTTACTTTTCATCCCTCCTATAGAGAAGAAATGATTCCTCTCTTAAATGATAGAAAATATGTTGATCCCACTTTCCATCCTTTTATTTTTCCAAGCCACCCTACCAAACACACTGATTAACCATCAAAATTATTATTTTATTATATTTAATGATTGATTAATTTCATATTATTTGTGATTAAATGTGTTAAATTCCTTAATTTTTTAGTTTGATATTTTTTCTAGTTGTTTAGTTTATTTTGCAGGTAAATTGGTTGATTTAAAGTAATAATGGATAAGACAAGTAAATCAATCACTAGAGGAAGAATCTGTAACGCACCAAAAACCATCTTGAATGGCATTACCATTTAAAAACATTCATGTCATAAGAGCAACTAAATAAATCCATCATTAAAGAACATTTTTAATTTAACAAAATTCGGGCAGAGTTTCCTTTGTACGGAGAGCTCTACCCAAAACACAATCTGTGCAATTATATTACATTGACCACACCAGGTCCATTTACCCATCAAATAATAAAATTTCATTCACCATATGTAACCATATGTAATATCCACAATATCATCCCAAAAGAATAGGTCAAGCTATGACACTTACATTTCAAAATAATTATACTCAAACTTAGCAGCGGAATAAACAAAATACTAGACTGTACATGATCGTAAATAAATTTCCTAATTTAGCACAAAAATAAACTATAGCTTTAGATGTCCACCTCAGGATCTAGGTTCCCCTCTAGTGGAACTTCCCAATTTCTCGGCTCGTCAACGCCATAATCTTCCTCTAGCACGAAATCTGAAAAGAAAATATTATTGGTAGGGGGTGAGCACTAAGCTCTGTAGAAAAATCCTCCCAAACTTTAACAAGGTTTGGAAAACGTAGAAAATAGTCGGTCTCATTTCACAAATAACATACGTAAAATTTTGAAAGAAAACATGACAATTTCAAAAATCTCAAGTTTATACATTAACAATAATTAAGTGAAAGAGTAAGTCAATCCCACCATAAATAACCATTCCAAAGAGTAATTATTCCCACAACAATTTTCAAGATAATCATATCCAAAAGATAACGCAATAAACAATAACCATAATGTTTCAATATATATGGTTTATTATTACATCATTACATATATAAGAATCACTAAACAAGTATATTACTATATTAATATAAATATGTGAGGGTTTACACCTTCAAGTCTAAGAAGAATTCACAACATTTTATTATCCAAGGAACACCATAGTGCAGATTTTTTTATCAACTTCAGAGAATAAACTGATTTGACTCAGGTAGTTCTAGTATGTGTGACCTATATTGTTGGAAAGATATACGAGTTAGGGTTCTAACAAAAATAACGGTGCACAATTTGGACTTTCTAACAAAGAGTTATGATCAAATTGGTGAAAGGTAGTCTGCCAGACTGCTTGGTTTTTCTATATTTGTTTGGAGCCTAAATATTATTATTCTTATATTTTGATTTAAGATGTATATGGAGATGTTAAATGCAAAACGAAACTAATTGGACGATTGTTGATAGTTTAGACATGTGGGGGTTTACAGAATCACAACTAATAAGAATTGAAGAGTCAATATTGAGATAGGAAGACTTGAAAATATGACAACAATTTAATCCTTCTAAGAGTCCAAGATGAAAGAAAACTCATTTAAAGTTGGATTAAGAAAGTATCTTAGAAGAATAAGGATTTGACACGTTTTCAGTATTCTGGTCATAACTTTTGACTCTGATATCCAATGTACTTGATTTTTGGAGTCTGGAAAGAAGACGTCAAGGGCTACAAAAGTGTATTTTACGAAAATTTCATGAATCATCCTCTAAATATGCGAAATCCAAGCTCGAAGTCTGAACAGATTTTGTACCCGCGCCCCAAAGATTTTATGCACCGGATTTAACGTTACAAGACTTCTCTTTGGAAATGAATTTCTTCCAAGTCAACCTTATATCTTCTACTTGTACTTAAGATTTATTTTTAGTATAAATAGGGGTTCTTATCTAGGATTTATTATATAATTCTTTTTTCTATCTTTTCTTTTCTAATTTTAGTTTGTCATGTCTGGCTAGAAGGCTAAACTAGGGTTAGGGGAGAACCTTTTAATGAAGTATGGTAATGTTATTGATTCTGAGTTTAATGATTTATGATATTTTGTTAATTTAACTTCCGATCTCATAGTAAAGTTTTTGCTATGTAAAAATCTTTGAGTTGTTGTGTCATATACATCGATTCCTTGAATTTCCCTGCGAGTAAATAACTGGTTATTTCATACTTGAAGTAATTATCATTATTTCATAAAATAATATAATTGGATGATTATTCAAGTTCCTAAATAATCTTTTGATTATAACTTTAGATTTTCTTTCTTGATTTATCACATGAATCAACCGACATCTAATTCTTGTCTCAAGTTAAGATTTGAGTCTTTAATCATTATTGTACGAAATTAAGAGGGAGTGTCTGATGCTCTAGTATTTTTATTATATTGTTTTAATTATTCCAATCAATATTTTTTCAACTCAACAATCTCTTAAAATAATTGTTCTTATAAGTTTGCTTTTTATTTGTTTTGTGTCTCTTATTTTTCCAATTCCCTGTGGTTCGATCTCGGACTCCCGAGAAATTTATTATTTCGCACAACCTGCACTTGGGTGATCAATTCTAAAGTTGTAGCAAGTTTTTACCATGAGACTAATATGAAATTTAGGCCTTTTATTACGTTGTTTTGATGTTAATAAAACCACATTGCCTTAAACTTATATATTCCATTTGTCATTCAATCCCCAATTGGAAGAGGTTTTTAAGATTAAAAATCGTAATTGCTTTTACTTCCCTACACTTCCTTAGTAACCATAAAAAAAAAACTAACTGATTAACATAATAATTGATCAGATCAAAACACTGAAGGCCTCGTAAAATAAAAATATAATCGAATAAACACTTGACACTGAGCTACTAGAAACACCAATTCAAAAAAACGACCAGAGAAACAGTTAAAACCCTAGATATTGAAGTGATCAGCCACTAAACAGGCGAAAGTGAAATCTAGGTGTAATGAGACAGTGGTAGAGAGAGAGAGAGCTTATCGACTTGTTGAGGACGATTCTCTGCGATGAAAAAGATAGTGAAACAGAACAGAGAGGACTCGCTATCTGTTCGGATTGGGCTATTCTGACGATCCGAGATAGGATCCATTATTGTCAGCTTAATGACTCGGAATAATAACCATTTGATTGCTACAATTTCAAAAGTGTAAGCTGTTGATGGAGAAATCACACTTTGTATTGTACCCTAATTAGGCGGTTTGGTGGTTAAACCTATTTGGTAACTTAGATGTATCATGTTCAATAATTTCTTACATTCCTTAAAGGTTAGTTATCCGTATTTTTCAAAGACATGCTCTAACTTAACTCAAACCACAGTGACCGTCGCTAAACTCGATAAAGAAGTCGGTACAAACTAGAACACCTTGTAGCAAAAAAAAAAAATATCGAAACACATGCAATACTCCGAAGGCCAAATTATATAATTCTCAACATAATCTAAAAAAAATTAAAACATCTCACAATTCATGATGATAGGTAAGCAAGGAGATAAATATTGGGTGTAACAATTACACCACGTTAGTATTGTTATGTGATACAGCCGTTCAATAATAAATAAACAAATAAACAAGTGAACTCCACTTTTTTAAGATGTGATGATTACTATCCTACATGGACAGGTGGTTATTTGAAAAATTGGAGTCCATTTTGCCTATTTATTTGTTGAGCAATATTATTAAAATTTTGAATTAAAAATTTGATTTAATGATGTAATTATTATATTTTTCATTGATTTAATTGTAAGTATTAGTATTTATTGTGACTCACTACATATTAAATGCTAATGATTCATCAAGTCAAAATTTTAAGTCTATTTAGCATTTTTCTTATTTGTTTATCATTAAACAACTACACCACGTGACAATATTAACATGGTATTGTATGTGGAGTAATCGTCCAATAATAAACAAATAAATTAACAAGTGAACTCTGTTTTTTTAAGATGTGACGATTTCTATTCTACACTGACAATATTAACATGGTGTATATGTTACACCTAATATTTTTTGGTAAAGAAGACACCAATCAGGTCACACCACACTCTTCCACAAGCATCATTTACGATGTCTAATGACAATTTGTTCACAAAATTTCTCCATGATATCATGTGTCAATAATAGTGTAATTTGTCATCGCACATAATATGTAGACCCAAATAAGGCTATAGCCAATTACTATGAACAATGGCACGGTAATTTATCACGCATACACAATTTAGGCGACAAATTGGACATCAAAATTAGGATTTGACTATAGTATCGAAATTCAAATTTTTGGTATTATATTAAAATTTATTATATTTGTCGTAACTTTTATCGCATCTGTAGGTATTTTTACTATTGTTATGGTACTTAAAAAATAGTAAAAATAACTATCACACAATGGTAAAACCATTGACAAATGTGATAAAAATATCTGTAAATTTAATAAATCAATCATAAAAATAATAAATTTTATTATACTTAAACAAATGATAAAAGTAATAACCACAAACATGATAAAAAAAAATTTACAAAAATAGTAAATTTTGAGAGTATAGTACAATTTTTTTTTGTCGGTATTCAAATCCAAATTAGTAAGGTGGGTACTTGACAGATTATTATAAGTGACGTAGTCAAGTATCTAACTTCACTTTCGGGAGCTTTCGAGGAAATCTGTGTGACTTGGTTGACAAGTGGGAGACGACGGTCCGGAAAAATGGTATTCGTCTAAATCTCTTGTGTTTGGATTGAAGATAAATTATGTATTAAACAGTATATATATATATATAAATATTCGTATAAATCCGTATAGTGACGAGAATAGACTTACAGTTATCCCCGCCCCGCCCCTCTCTCTCTATATATACTCCCGTTAAAGCTAAGAGTCTTAGGTTCGTCTCCTCTTCCTCCATCAGCCGCCGCCTCCATCGAGTCCTCTCTCTCAATAGCTGATCGCTGCACTCAGCCCTCAGCAGCTCAGCCGCCCGCCTCCTCGACAAGCTGGTATCGAAGGTCGAAGCTCGAAGCTGCCCTCATATTTGTTACATGAGACTCGAAACTGGGAAGGCCTGGGATCTTTTACTTGAGCAAAGGCACAGAAAGGTCTCATTTTTATTCATTGATCTATTCATTTGGCCGCTAGTATTCTATTTCGATCTTATTCAGGTTTGATCTGCGATGGTTATATTATGCTGTGTTTTGAAAAGCTGGAGTCTTTATTGCTCCCTTTATTCTATTGTAGTTTCCATCAAAATTATAGGGTTTGGACAGATCTGAATTTTTTTTTATGTTTTTTCGTATCTAGGGTTATATTTTATGGATTTGGGGATTTTTTTCAGCCATTTCCGGAACAGCTATTTTTCAGATTCATCAGTCGCTGCAACATCATATTTATTTTCATGACATACTGCAGCAATTTATTAAAGTGATAGGATGCGCCAATTTATTTAACGCTATACTGATACTGAAATAATCTGTTTTTTTTTTTTTCAGAATTTCATAGTTTGGTGCGTACATTTTCCATGAGCAACAGTTGTCATTAACAATGNTCTGTTTTTTTTTTTTTTCAGAATTTCATAGTTTGGTGCGTACATTTTCCATGAGCAACAGTNCGCTATACTGATACTGAAATAATCTGTTTTTTTTTTTTTCAGAATTTCATAGTTTGGTGCGTACATTTTCCATGAGCAACAGTTGTCATTAACAATGCTCCTGCCTCCTTCGTCTCTTCCCAAGCCCTATGCCGCCTCCCATTTGCCCCTCAATTTCAACAAATTTACATCGTGCCCTTCCTCCACCGCCACCACCACCAAAACCTCTTTGATCGTTTGCACTCTCTTCAGAGACTCGACTCGTCATAGGATGGGGGAGGAGACGAAAGACTCTGAATCGGTGGTTCTTCAGCGGCCGGACTCTTTTGGCCGGTTTGGAAAGTTTGGCGGGAAGTATGTTCCTGAAACCTTAATGTATGCTCTCTCCGAGCTCGAATCCGCATTCAAATCTCTTGCCAGAGACCAAGACTTTCAGGTTTCTGCTGTGAATTCTTACGAGTAAACGTTCAGAAGCACTTACTTATGATATGACTCAGATTTGTATATTTCATTTGAGAGATAGAATTTATTAAGCATTTCGATCAAATAGTTGGACGAGAGGTGGTTCCCTTGATTTCTCATTCTTGTTTAAATTTGGTTTGGTTTTGTTTTCCATTTCGATTTTGTTTTCCCTTCGAAAAATGAGTAGAATAAGGGAAACCGTGATTCACTTTAGAATGGAAGGTTATGGAATTTTGTTAGGCAATTTTTTTATTATTATTGGTTAATATTGTTCTGCTATCAAAGCTTTTGCATGATGTAAAATAAATATAATAAAAAAGTGAGGCTAAGGCTTACAGAGCAACCTCCCAAAGTTTAAAACTTTATGCGTTTGCTTTCTGGAGCTATCTCGTGGATTCATATGCCTATAATCAAATAGGGTTGTAAAGTTCACAACTTCATTGAAAATATTTTCAATGTAAGCATTTTTGTCATGATACTGTGGTGAACTAGAATTAAGGAGATTATCCTTGATGTTTTGTTATACACACAATTATCAGAAATTTATGTGATTGAGTTTATTGCAGAAAGAGTTGGATGGGATATTGAGAGACTATGTTGGCAGAGAAAGTCCTCTTTATTTTGCAGAACGGCTTACTGAGCACTATAAGCATCCCAATGGCGAAGGGCCAGACATATACCTCAAGAGGGAAGATCTTAACCATACAGGAGCACACAAAATCAACAATGCTGTTGCCCAAGCTTTGCTTGCCAAGCGTCTGGGAAAACAGCGCATTATAGCTGAAACTGGGGCTGGTCAGCATGGAGTTGCCACTGCAACAGTATGTGCTCGATTTGGTTTGCAGTGTATCGTCTACATGGGTGCCCAAGATATGGAGAGACAATCACTTAATGTCTTCAGAATGCGGCTTCTTGGAGCTGAGGTTTGTTTCTCATGCTTAATTCTACTTATTTTTAACTATTGAGCCTTTGTTGGCTGGTACCCAAAAAAAAAACACCTTTAGTTGCAACTATAGAGTGATGGTTTGTCCTTTTGAAAATTAATGGAAGAGTTGATTGGTTCATTTTATGTTTTTTGTCATGGTTGGAATGAATGGTAATGGAGCACACCTCTATGGTTCTAACGATATTCATTTAGTTGGTTTCTAATTTGTTGGGGTCCTCAAATAGGGGTCTTATTGTAATTGCTTTCTATTGCATGTTCATCTACCACACACTATTGACAGTCAATTAGTGAAAGTTAATGATTAAATGATATGGTTTAGTATGAATATGTTTGTTGCCGATGGAGAAAGTGTTAATAGTATGCTTTAAGACCAATCATATAGATGATGTTTTAGGGTTTTACTAGCAACATTCATTACTTAATCAAATAAAAGGGCAAGTTTATTTATCATGTTTCTACTTTATTTCATTTTAATATACATAATATAGTCCATAGAGTATACCTTAAGAAGATAGTTTCTCAAGGTGTTGAGAAGAGGAGACTTATATACTTCTTAGTACTTAACTCTTAAATGTTCCTAGTCATAGGATTATTATTTGGGCACTACGTAATCTGGATAGACTAGCACACATTATGTTTACTCATATTTGATGAGGTGACTTGTCCAGGTCACTAGTGTAGGGACACTGAAGCAGGTGTGTGGTTGCTTGTTAGAGAACAAGTATACTGAACGTGACCGTTAACTAACGTAGAATTTTTCATATGAAGTTTTACATACCTATCAATGTTAAATCTTAAAGTTATAGTTATGCAACTGATTCTTATACTTGAGACACCATGGTTGTCTTGTGCATGAATTTTTATGCTTTAACTATACAACATATTCATATACTAACCATGTAACTTAGATATGTATTGTTAGATATAGTTAGACATGCATGAAAACTTATGAGTGTACAAAATCTAATTTATCATCCTTAATAATTAAAAGGAGAATGTCCTATGTGATCTTTTGGGATATGGCTCAAAGAGTCCTTGGCCAAGGCAGAATGACAATTAGAAAAGAGTTTCTAATTGATCATTAAGAGTCCTAGTCCTAAGATCAAACACAAGATTGAATTAGGGGTTTGACAGTAATTTCATACCCTAGTAAGTCAATTGGAGCATTCTATGATAGAAGGATTGAATTGCATGACAACTATAAATTGAATGGGTTCTTTACCTACTTCGTTCTATCCGGAGGGAGGTTGATCATGATGTGTTGCTAGATGTCACTCATGATAAGTAGAAGCTCGAAAAATAAAATTAATATAAATATATTAATTGTTCTTCATAAATGGTGAATTAGAAGAGTTTTAATTCAAACTAAATTAGAAAGAGTTTTAATTTGAGATGCTACTTGTAGTTAGTATCGAACAATCGGGTATGCTTGAACCTATAGGGTCACAAACAATAGAATTGATTGGAAACTAAAGGATACAAGAGAGACAACCAATTAAGAGTTAATTGAGATGAAAACCTAATTAAAAGTTAATTAGGGATTTTATTACGATTAATGGTTAATAAAGAGATTATGTGTGATTATGAGATAATTTCAACTTGACTCAAACTAAGATTAGAGCCTTTAAAGCTCTATAAATACCTTTATGTAGGAGGTGGAAATAAGATATAGCAATTCTCTTGTTAGCACAAGAAGAACCACCCCTCATTCTTTCTCTCTACTAGTTTTATCAATGACTATAGTAGATCCTTCAAGTTTGTCAATTCGTGTGGATACCGATAGAAGTCAAACGTTTGCGAGGCTTGGGGTAAAGATCAAATTCAGATTTTAAGATTTAAGAATGCTTGAAGACTGCTTGAAGATTAAGGCCAAATCGGATTTTTGAGAATGTTTGAAGATTGCTAAAGGCACGCTTCAAAGAGGTAATCCTTAATCTTTTCTGTAGATCTAAGGTTTCTCGGTTTGTATTAAACATGAATAGATCTTAGAATGAGGAATCAAATTATTATTTTTTTAAATTCCGTTGCGTTTATTATATGATTCCTTTCAGAAAGAAATATTGATATAGGTCATTTACCCAAATTGATCTCTTTTAAGTGTTAATTGAGGGTGTTTGGAGGGATGAACTAGATAATAACCTAATGTTAAACATTAAATGCACAAAAATGGATGTCATCATATTTGAACCCATGTCCTTACCATTGCATTACGCAATGACTCCTAAGTCCTGAATATAGGGATAGTGATAACATGGTGAAATAATCAGCGTAGTTGTAAAAATATGCTGGTCAGGCACTTCCATGGTGTTATACAGCTTTTCTGCTGCAAAATCGTTTCATGGGCCATCAGTTGTTGTGTTGAATTGGAACATTTGGTTTTGATGGTCCAAGGAAGGCCATTTGAGGTTTATCCGTACCTAGCTTTCCCAGTGTTGTTGATGACTAAAAGAGTTGTCACTGCATATTAATTCATTCAAGGGGAGGTCAGTGCAGGGCAGTTAAATCCTTCATCTGTACAGCACAGCTGTGGTTGCATCTGTTCATATTACCCTTTCTCCTTAAACTGATCCTTGGCTGCAGCCTGTCAATACTTAGAAATCTATGAGGTTCCATGGGCATTTTCTTTGTCATTGCATGGACTCCAACTAGAATTATTTATGTTTCTTATGCTGGACACTCGTGTTTATCCTTGTCATCTTGATGGTCAAGTGTCTTAGTTTGATGCTGTAGTGGTGATAGCTACCTGGAAGACATGATTAGTATATGGAACGATTTTTCTGCTTGAATTAAGAAGACTGATTTGGTTCAGATGTTGAGCTTCCATTTTGTTGGAGTTTACCTCCATTCGACACCTCTTGTGCTCTGTGAATCCATACTTTCATTCATTTGATCTAGAATCTTGATCACATGGAATCACCCTGGTTTACCTTTTAAATTTCTGTACCATTGTGCCTGATCCTTATATTAATTTGCTGTGTCTGAATATGTGGGCCTCATGCATGGAATCTTAACTGGACTGTGGATGTTCTTCTTGAGGCTTTTTCTCTTGTTTAGTAAAAAAAGATAAAACTTAATTCCTGTTTTTTTTTGCATTTGATGAACATCTTGCAACTATCTTTTTTCGAAATTTTTGGCTGCCATTAATAGGGCTCCCATGAGGATATTACAAATCCTTTTGTGATGATTTTGGTTGGAGTGAAGAATTATTTTCATTAGTGACGATATCCCACCTTATGTTCCTGCACATGGTTGACACTATATTGTTCCCAAAATTACAAAACCCTATTATTCACCACTTTCAACCAGTTATGCTGGCAATGTTACTTATTTCCTTTGTCTCTGTCATTATTCATTCATCGATTACTACTATTATTTTCTCGTGTTGATAAGGTATAGTTCTCTTTTTTGTGGCCACTTTCATGACACCATATATGCAACTGGTGTGTTCTAGTGCTATCTCGTGGTTTCTGCCTTTGGTGATTCATGATACAGTTACTTCCATAGCTATGCTTCTTTTGACTTTTAAGTTCCAAAATTTACATACAGGTTAGAGCAGTACATTCAGGGACAGCAACTCTTAAAGATGCTACTTCGGAAGCTATAAGGGATTGGGTAACCAATGTTGAATCAACCCATTACATCTTGGGATCTGTTGCAGGGCCACATCCATACCCTTTGATGGTAAGAGAGTTTCATGCAGTGATTGGTAAAGAAACGAGGAAGCAGGCATTGGAAAAATGGGGTGGGATGCCAGATGTCCTAGTTGCATGTGTTGGTGGAGGTTCAAATGCCATGGGACTCTTCCATGAGTTTGTTGATGACAAAGATGTTAGGTTGATTGGTGTGGAGGCTGCAGGTTTTGGCGTAGATAGTGGCAAGCATGCCGCTACTTTGAGTAAAGGAGAGGTCGGTGTATTGCACGGAGCTATGAGCTATTTACTACAGGATGAAGATGGGCAGATAATTGAGCCTCACTCAATTAGCGCCGGGTAAAGAAATGGCATTGATATTTTGTTTTTAGTTTAGGTATGACTGCTTTTGCTATATTGTTCCTAAGAGGAAATATTTCTTGTTGGCTTATAGCCTCGACTACCCTGGAGTTGGACCAGAGCACAGCTTTCTGAAAGATATAGGACGTGCTGAATATCATAGCGTCAGTGATGAAGAGGCATTGGAAGGTAAGGAAACTCCTGTATTTTCGTTTTGGGTCTTCAGGTCTGTATAGTTTCTGTGATGCCAACAACTGTTCACCATGTTTTGTGGCCGCAAGAACCATATAGTTTGCTGTTTTTGTTCTCGGTGAAAATTNGATGATTTTGGTTGGAGTGAAGAATTATTTTCATTAGTGACGATATCCCACCTTATGTTCCTGCACATGGTTGACACTATATTGTTCCCAAAATTACAAAACCCTATTATTCACCACTTTCAACCAGTTATGCTGGCAATGTTACTTATTTCCTTTGTCTCTGTCATTATTCATTCATCGATTACTACTATTATTTTCTCGTGTTGATAAGGTATAGTTCTCTTTTTTGTGGCCACTTTCATGACACCATATATGCAACTGGTGTGTTCTAGTGCTATCTCGTGGTTTCTGCCTTTGGTGATTCATGATACAGTTACTTCCATAGCTATGCTTCTTTTGACTTTTAAGTTCCAAAATTTACATACAGGTTAGAGCAGTACATTCAGGGACAGCAACTCTTAAAGATGCTACTTCGGAAGCTATAAGGGATTGGGTAACCAATGTTGAATCAACCCATTACATCTTGGGATCTGTTGCGGGGCCACATCCATACCCTTTGATGGTAAGAGAGTTTCATGCAGTGATTGGTAAAGAAACGAGGAAGCAGGCATTGGAAAAATGGGGTGGGATGCCAGATGTCCTAGTTGCATGTGTTGGTGGAGGTTCAAATGCCATGGGACTCTTCCATGAGTTTGTTGATGACAAAGATGTTAGGTTGATTGGTGTGGAGGCTGCAGGTTTTGGCGTAGATAGTGGCAAGCATGCCGCTACTTTGAGTAAAGGAGAGGTCGGTGTATTGCACGGAGCTATGAGCTATTTACTACAGGATGAAGATGGGCAGATAATTGAGCCTCACTCAATTAGCGCCGGGTAAAGAAATGGCATTGATATTTTGTTTTTAGTTTAGGTATGACTGCTTTTGCTATATTGTTCCTAAGAGGAAATATTTCTTGTTGGCTTATAGCCTCGACTACCCTGGAGTTGGACCAGAGCACAGCTTTCTGAAAGATATAGGACGTGCTGAATATCATAGCGTCAGTGATGAAGAGGCATTGGAAGGTAAGGAAACTCCTGTATTTTCGTTTTGGGTCTTCAGGTCTGTATAGTTTCTGTGATGCCAACAACTGTTCACCATGTTTTGTGGCCGCAAGAACCATATAGTTTGCTGTTTTTGTTCTCGGTGAAAATTGCATGTTGTTTTTCTTCTTTCTTATAGCTCTTTATGGTTTACAAGTAAAATTAGAAAGTTGCTTGGCCTTTTATCGTCTTGTTNTGTGGCCACAAGAACCATATAGTTTGCTGTTTTTGTTCTCGATGAAAATTGCATGTTGTTTTTCTTCTTTCTTATAGCTCTTTATGGTTTACAAGTAAANGTGGCCGCAAGAACCATATAGTTTGCTGTTTTTGTTCTCGGTGAAAATTGCATGTTGTTTTTCTTCTTTCTTATAGCTCTTTATGGTTTACAAGTAAANAAGTGTCTTAGTTTGATGCTGTAGTGGTGATAGCTACCTGGAAGACATGATTAGTATATGGAACGATTTTTCTGCTTGAATTAAGAAGACTGATTTGGTTCAGATGTTGAGCTTCCATTTTGTTGGAGTTTACCTCCATTCGACACCTCTTGTGCTCTGTGAATCCATACTTTCATTCATTTGATCTAGAATCTTGATCNGTTGTTGTCATAAATTAGAGTTCCTTCTCATCCTTCCTTTTTTTTCTTTTTTTTTTTGGCTTTTTTTGATTGGTTTTGACTTGCTTATGTATGCAGCTTTCAAGAGATTATCTAGACTAGAGGGCATAATCCCTGCTCTGGAGACATCTCATGCATTGGCTTATCTGGAGAAGCTGTGCCCAACTCTTCCTAATGGAACGAAGGTCGTGCTCAACTGCAGCGGTAGAGGAGATAAAGATGTTCATACAGCNTGGGCCTCATGCATGGAATCTTAACTGGACTGTGGATGTTCTTCTTGAGGCTTTTTCTCTTGTTTAGTAAAAAAAGATAAAACTTAATTCCTGTTTTTTTTTGCATTTGATGAACATCTTGCAACTATCTTTTTTCGAAATTTTTGGCTGCCATTAATAGGGCTCCCATGAGGATATTACAAATCCTTTTGTGATGATTTTGGTTGGAGTGAAGAATTATTTTCATTAGTGACGATATCCCACCTTATGTTCCTGCACATGGTTGACACTATATTGTTCCCAAAATTACAAAACCCTATTATTCACCACTTTCAACCAGTTATGCTGGCAATGTTACTTATTTCCTTTGTCTCTGTCATTATTCATTCATCGATTACTACTATTATTTTCTCGTGTTGATAAGGTATAGTTCTCTTTTTTGTGGCCACTTTCATGACACCATATATGCAACTGGTGTGTTCTAGTGCTATCTCGTGGTTTCTGCCTTTGGTGATTCATGATACAGTTACTTCCATAGCTATGCTTCTTTTGACTTTAAGTTCCAAAATTTACATACAGGTTAGAGCAGTACATTCGGGGACAGCAACTCTTAAAGATGCTACTTCGGAAGCTATAAGGGATTGGGTAACCAATGTTGAATCAACCCATTACATCTTGGGATCTGTTGCGGGGCCACATCCATACCCTTTGATGGTAAGAGAGTTTCATGCAGTGATTGGTAAAGAAACGAGGAAGCAGGCATTGGAAAAATGGGGTGGGATGCCAGATGTCCTAGTTGCATGTGTTGGTGGAGGTTCAAATGCCATGGGACTCTTCCATGAGTTTGTTGATGACAAAGATGTTAGGTTGATTGGTGTGGAGGCTGCAGGTTTTGGCGTAGATAGTGGCAAGCATGCCGCTACTTTGAGTAAAGGAGAGGTCGGTGTATTGCACGGAGCTATGAGCTATTTACTACAGGATGAAGATGGGCAGATAATTGAGCCTCACTCAATTAGCGCCGGGTAAAGAAATGGCATTGATATTTTGTTTTTAGTTTAGGTATGACTGCTTTTGCTATATTGTTCCTAAGAGGAAATATTTCTTGTTGGCTTATAGCCTCGACTACCCTGGAGTTGGACCAGAGCACAGCTTTCTGAAAGATATAGGACGTGCTGAATATCATAGCGTCAGTGATGAAGAGGCATTGGAAGGTAAGGAAACTCCTGTATTTTCGTTTTGGGTCTTCAGGTCTGTATAGTTTCTGTGATGCCAACAACTGTTCACCATGTTTTGTGGCCGCAAGAACCATATAGTTTGCTGTTTTTGTTCTCGGTGAAAATTGCATGTTGTTTTTCTTCTTTCTTATAGCTCTTTATGGTTTACAAGTAAAATTAGAAAGTTGCTTGGCCTTTTATCGTCTTGTTGCTATTGATAGGTTGCATTGTTGTCATAAATTAGAGTTCCTTCTTTTTTTTTCTTTTTTTTTTGGCTTTTTTTGATTGGTTTTGACTTGCTTATGTATGCAGCTTTCAAGAGATTATCTAGACTAGAGGGCATAATCCCTGCTCTGGAGACATCTCATGCATTGGCTTATCTGGAGAAGCTGTGCCCAACTCTTCCTAATGGAACGAAGGTCGTGCTCAACTGCAGCGGTAGAGGAGATAAAGATGTTCATACAGCCATTAAACATCTGCAGGTTTGATAGTGGTGCTTGTTATTATCGAAAGTGTTTAAATTCTTCTTGATAAGAGTTACCTTGTGAACATACCAAGGTACCTGAGAAGAGATGTTGTATTGATGAAACAAAGTTTTGTAACCCAAATAAACCCTAAAAAAAATTCATTTATTTTATTTTTTTCATCTGGAAGATTCTGGTTTGTCCAATTTATTGTCGTTCATAATTTTTGCATTAAGGGCAATCTTTCCTGTGAAATCTGGCACAAATCCATGAAGGAAAAATGAAATTATGGCTGTGAAGTTCTCTTTTTAGGGGACATAACAGGCATTTACGAGGATTTTAATTGTAGTGGTCTCATTTGTACATTTTTTTTTTTTTGCCGTCACTCCTGTAGTCTCTATTCTACTATATATTTATTCTTTATTCTTTCAGTGGGGCGAGACCTACTATAAAAAAAAATAAGTAACGATAGATGATTCACCCAAAAAATTGAAGAGAATAATATACTTGAGATTTGTTTCCACAACAACAAAGGCAATAATAATGGGCAGCAATGGACTAAGACCAGTTCTAGGTATCTGCATACAGAAGAGCCAGGAACCACCGTAAACAGTACAGATGTAGTCAAACAGCTCCCATGAGGCACAAGTTCAATAAATCCTGCTTGTTAACTACTAAATTCTATTTCCAGTTGTAACAAATGGTGTAAATCTATTTAATAACCGCAAAGAAGAAGTCACCTTCAAAAACAGAATATTTCAGTAATGTGAAGTAACTACATACATAACTTTTGTTTGTAGGTGTGATAACTGTACAAAATCAAAAGCTACAAAATAAGGAACTTATTATGCAGGCTAAAGGGAAAAATCAAGAACTGGAACCCAACTGATTTCTGTCCTCAGAAGACACTTTTGAGTTCCAGAATCCGATCCAGAAGAGCAGCCTATGTTTATACCAGTATGGACTCAGAGATCTGTCAAGTTACCTATACGATAAACTTTACACCACTAACAAGCATAAAGAGGTTCTGTTAATCAGCCAAAAAAGAGCCACTCAAAAAAGAAGTTTTCGACTGGGTTAATCGCTTCCTCACTTACAAGCCATCATCACAAAATGAAATTGGAGATGAACAACCAGCTCCAAACCAACTTCAAAAGCTAAACCTTGGGCCAAAAGATCTCTAATCAGCAGAAAGAATAGCTGGCTCATCAACATTGTCAAATGGGACTGCATCATGGGGATTTTTTTGTAGATTCTACCATGTACAGCTGCAAGACGGCCAAATTAAGATCTCAAAACTGAAAACACCAAACAAAATACCGGAACAGCTATTTTTCAGATTCATCAGTCACTGCAACATCATATTTATTTTCATGACGTGCTGAACAATTTATTAAAGTGATAAGATGTGGCAACACACAGCACACAACGGGTATCAACAGGTTTCACCTAAAATATTAATCCAATTTATTTAACGCCATACTGATACTGCAATAAACTGTTTTTCTTTTTTTTTTTTTCATAATTTCATAGTTTAGTGCATACATTTTCCTAATTCTCTTCCATGGGCAACAGTTGTCCTAAAGGATATCAATCCTTCTACCAAAATAAGATAGCCAAGCCGGAAACCAGAAGTCTAGAAAACATAGTGAACTTCGATGAGAACAACTCTTGAAGCAATAATGTGTTGATCTAATCACTGCCAGAGCCACAAGGACTAAAGTACAACCAGTCAAGTCCCCATTAACGTGGAAGGGTCTGGGACTGGGAGACATAGACCGGGTACAAACGTGTAGTTGTCCTCAAGTTCGACCCCATGGTCTCAAGGTCTAAATGAATTAGTATCTGCAGAAAAGCTCCAATTGAAACATAGAAATTACAAAAAGAGTTCATTTTCTTTCATATAATTGAAGTTATTACCGCACATTCTTTCATTTCTTTCATTTTGACTCTTTCAATCTCTACTTCAGTTGTAGATCCTCCGGTTCTTGTTGTCATCCCAACCCATTAATCCTTACAGAAACCTTCATGTGTTCAGAATTCACACCAGCCATGGTTTCTTTGCATGCATAGTTTACACTTTAAGAATGGACCTACTTCCCTTTTTTGGGAGAGATGAACTTCACACATGAAGTAGAAAGCTAGATGAGTTTTTTCATCCCTGCCTGTGTTCTATCATCCTAAGTTTAGTAAGGCTTTTGAATTCATGCCTGAAAAATTGTAATCAAAGATTTTGTTTCTTTCACTACAAGTAATGTGCTACTATTCAGCTAAACCAACAGACAGAATCTACCTGGGAAGTACAAAAAAAGGTTTGGGCCCCTCTGTGAGTAACTTAACCATAATCTATGTTCTACTCACAATAACAAAAAAAATAGAACAGTAAGTAGGCAGAGAAAAATAGTAAATGGGGACAAGTGACTTACTGACTCCTTTGAATTTCACAGAACCGTGATTACACAACAAGATGAGCCTCTAGGAACCATTTGGAACTCTTTTCTTAACTCCTTTTTTTTCTTTGTGTCTTCTAATGGACTCTTGGAACAATATATATTCAACTTCTCCAAAACCAGTGCATTCTTCAGCAAAAAATTCAGGAAACATATTTCTGCATTATTCCCACGAAAATTCTGTAGGCTGGCTGTCTTGAGGCAGGAAAATAGACAGTTAGGTACTGACACTAAAAGCCACTGATCTTCACCAAAACAGATGCAAGGGTCAAGTCCCTGAACAGCATAAAAGCCATATTTTAGTTGTGTTTAGTCACAAACATGATAACTGAACTACTAGTGCTAGAGAACCTACCTCAGCAAAGCAGATAGATTCTAAATTTGGCGAGTATCGGAGAAACTTCAGTAATGCTCCAACGGTGTGATTCTCAATTTCCATGCTCAACTCTAAGTGGGATAAATTTGGAAGTACTGGGAGATGATATAGCACATTATCTGCAAAAAACAATGACTACGCATAGGAAAACAGAAAGAATCACAACCCAGTATAGCAGGATTAGGCAAGCCTACATATGAAAAAAATGCATATTAAAAACAAGTTTTTGGACATATAACGAAATCATTTGATGCAGCTGCCAAATACCTCAATGGCACCATTAGATATTCTCACAGAACAAGCATTGTGCAGTCCTCTAAGCAGTTTCAGTGTCCGAAAAGCAACTACTCTTTGCCTCTCACGCGTAACTGGAATGTGGACGGATGCATCGACCAGTGAGGAAAGATTATACAGCGAAATTTCATTTGATAGATAACCAATGTACTTCAGCGATACGAGATTTGCTGCCTCTACCTTGATCTCACAACCATGTAAATCATCATTTGAATCAAAGGATGGCAAATCATCTATTATAAAGCTCTTCAATGTGGGAAGTGAAATCGAGATACTATTCAAGTTCATCCAATCACAGTCTAATATGGCTAACTCTTGAAGGACTGGGCACCCAGAGAATAGCTTTTGGGTGGATTTATCGCCAGGGAATGTAACAAGGCTAAGGTGCAAGGTTCTAAGGCATGGAAAAGAGATGCAAGTAGGGAGTTCAAGGACACAATTCATTTCTATTTTAACTACTGTGAGTGACTCGCAATCAAAAACACAATGGGGCAGCATAAAACACTTCTCTACAAAGAGGCAAAGATCAAGCTCTTCAACATTATGTTTGATAGCAGCAGAGACCCACGCATGAACACGAGATGAACTGAAGCAAACTCGACAGGAAAGCCGGAACCTTTTCATAATTGAGGCATCTCGGAGTAAAAGCACCCTTTCAACAAAATTCATGAAACAAGTGACCTCGAGGGGATACCAGGCGTTCACCTTACTCAAATACAACAACGAATCATCAAAATCAATGTTGGGAACAGAAGTCCACAAGTACTTCCACCTAGTTGATAATATGCATGTTGCTACAGCATCTTTGGTGGAAAGAAACGAAAGAATGTGATGAAGAATACAATCAGGTAAATTGCTGATCTTATCTTCAGAATCACCAACATTCTGCAACTCATAAAACTTTTGGTGCTTGAAACTACCCATTATTTCGCCCTTCTTCCCCTAAAATAAAATAAAAATGCTTGGTTACATGTTAAAGTTATAATATATTGTTGAATAGAGGCACCTAAAAGGGAGACTCAAAGGTAGGCACATAACAATCATCACCACAATTCGGCTAAATTGTGAATTTCTTTTGAACCTACAAAACTTTCCATCACACATCAAATTGAATCAAGAAACCTAACCATTTACACACACTGTTATGACAATCAAATGAGCTCGATATGATCACTGGAAATTAATGAAATTTCTTCTCTATGATAATAAGTCCCAACTATTCAACTATTCTCAAATCGAAATTTGCATCATTATTACAAAATATTCCACCAACCTACTAACAGAACCTTTTATTTTGAAGGGTTAACACTTATAGTTACCACTAATTTGATTGGGTTTCAAATGATAAGCTATGAGAAGCATTGATGTCTCATCATCCCCTGCTTCAGGTCCTCACATATAAATGGATCAATGAAGACACTTTCAATGTTGCAACATTGAAACTTCAACTTTATGATTTGTTGGAACACTAGAATTTCAACAAGGATTTATTGAGTTGAATTGGAACCTAAAATTTCATAATGGGATATGACTATGAACAACCGACACAACATATGCCTCCAAACCAGTACATACTAGTACTCAAGTAAAATGCCAAAAATGAATCAATAAATCCCAAATAAAAGGAACCAATCTTAGACACAGAACCACAAAAGCTCCAAACACCAAGAAAACAGAGCAGAAATAATAAAAGGAAACCACATGCTGGAAAATACCCACCTGCCCTGTGTGTGTGTGTGTGAGAGAGAGAGAGAGTCTAACTGATGATCAAAAGCTAGGGATAGACATTTCCATGGCGTGAAAGAGTAGAGAAGTGGTGGCCAATAGCTCTAGTAGCAATAGCAGAAGGAGTATCCTCAGAAAAGGCAGATAACGGAATGATCCAGCCGGACACGTGGCAAAATGGGTATACAGAACTGGGTATCTCCTACCTTGATCACAGCAATGGCAATCGGTTTGCGTGTAGTTCTGAATAGCAGAGGGAGACAGACCGCCTTGAACAGGAGGGGGAGAGAGAGAGAGAGAGAGAAGTTAATGCTGCATTTCCCACCCTCTCCCTGCTCCCATGCTTTGTACCCCACAGTCCCTACAGGGGTAAATTTGTCTTTTAAATATATAGAAATTCCACGCAATTTCCGGAAGCTTTTGTAGTCCTCATAGAATTATATTTTTACTATATGAATTATGAATAATTACATTTTGAACTCCTCTCTTATTTCCTACAATAAACTCTAAAATTGGATAAGGTATCAAAAAAAATTCACTAACCCTAGGGTTTCCAAATTGCATCACAAAGGATGTCGACCTTAGATTAGTTAGTCTCCTAGAAAAAAATTACCGAGACTCATTAATCCAAGGATCCACACTCATTTAGAATGAAATTTAAAATCCCTAACATTACCCAAAAAATTGGGTACATTGTCACATATACGTTTTATGATTATTTGATAATTTATAATTTTTGAGAATACTTATGCTCCGTTTGATAGGAATAATGGAAAGTAGGAAGGATGAAAAACAGGAGGGATACACTTTTTATCCTCCAACAATGCAAAGTAGGAATGATATATTTTTTTCCCTTTATGTTTGGTTGAATAGATTGAAAATAAAAATGATCAATTTTTTTTTAATTTTTTTGGGTCTAATATTAGGGGTGACAATCGAATTGTGTTGAGTTATAAAATTATGAGTTTTTTATATTTTTTATTTGCGTGTCAGGTCATTTTCAAGTTCGTATTGAGTTATAATTAAGTTTCTGTTATAAAATTCGTATCGAGTCGAAAATTTTCACTTCTAGTTAAGATTAAAAGATATTTTTTTAATTTAAAATTTTTATTTTTATTTTTATTTTATATATATAAATAATTTTCCATCTATTTTCTTTTCGATTTTGAAAAGATTGATTTTGGTGAGTTGGAAAGAAAGTTTATTCATCTACTTTTTCATCCTTCTTATTTATCCCTCCAACTTTCCATCCTTCTCACTTTTCATTCTACCATGTTTTTCTTTATACCAAACGGAGCATTAGAGGATCGGTATTAATTTTTTTTATTATAAATAAACTCAAAAACTTATATCTAAATCACAAAACGAGCATACGGTGTTAAAAAAAAAATTGGGTATTGTAATCTTCTAGCATTCTGTTATGTCGTGATGGATATTATATTTTAATAAGATTTTGAAATTATAAGTTTTGATTAGTAAATTATAGTTTTTTACTTTCCATAAAAAAATATTTACAAAAAAAAATAAAAAAATATATATATATATAAAAATATATATATATATATATATATATATATATATATATATATATATATATATATTTTTATATATATATATATTTTTTTATTTTTTTTTGTAAATATTTTTTTATGGAAAGTAAAAAACTATAATTTACTAATCAAAACTTATAATTTCAAAATCTTATTAAAATATAATATCCATCACGACATAACAGAATGCTAGAAGATTACAATACCCAATTTTTTTTTTAACACCGTATGCTCGTTTTGTGATTTAGATATAAGTTTTTGAGTTTATTTATAATAAAAAAAATTAATACCGATCCTCTAANAAGATGCCGAGCATTACATAAACATCTAATTTAAAATGAAAAATGTAATCACAACCAGAGAGAGTAGGGGCATGTTTGATTTGCGTTTCAAAAAATAGTATCCGAAAATAGATTTTATGAAAAATTTTAAGAAAATAGTTTTGATATTTTTTGAGATAAAAAACTTATTTTGTTAGATAATTTTAAAAACAATTTTACAATACAGAAAATAGTAAAACCTGTTTGAACAGTTTAAATATATATTTGAACAGTAATTCAAACATTAATAAAAAAATTTTAAAAAATTATTTTTATATTGACAATTTCATAATATATATAAATATATATACCGATTTATAATATATATATATATACACTCATATCTGAACATTCAAAATTGTTCTCCTTGTTTTATGTTTTTTTTGACTCAAATCTCATTTTTTCTCAAAATGTAGAGAACAAAAATGTTAAACAAACAGGTTTAGGTGTTTTTGAAATTTTGAGAACAAAAAACAAATTCCGAAAACTAAACCAAACATGACCTTGGTAATTTTCTCTTAAAATCCGAGAGGATAACATAAAATAGGTCTACTCTTATTATGTTATAGATGGAAGTAACTCAATTTCATTCCAATGTTGTAAATTAATACTAGTATAGTTTAAGCATGAAATTCTAACATTATTTCTACTACATTACCTAAAATTTGCAGCCATTGCCAATTAATCTTGTTTTAGACGGGTTATTTTCTTTCATTACATAAATAAGAACAAGGGGAAAAGCATTTATCGTCAAAGTAGACTCATTCATACCTTAATATTGGCTTATATGATTGTCATTCATCGGGTTGTCTTATTTTTTATTTAACGAGGTATTTTGGTCAGCTTATGCGTATCTCGACATGTCATCCACGTTAAGATTAGAGTATTCACGGGGGATAAATCGTTCATAATTTGGATTCAAAGAATTGTCAAGATTTAAACTTTAAACAACCGAGTTTATAGTTTGTTCCTCTTATTACTTGAATTATCGTAACATGTGTTGATGCGGCGAGTGTTCTAGGGCGTTCACAGTGTTGTTGTACATGAAATGTCAGTTGTGTTGTTATTTTAAATGACGTCATTTTGCACATGAAATGACATCATTTCATACATAAAACAATATGGTTTAAAGGAACAACACAACAACTGTGACAGCAAAGAAGCTATAACCTTGTTCTAGATTGGGCATCTAGGAATTGGGTGAAAGCAAGCTTCATAATTTCATTGAGCATGAATATTTTGTTATGTTTTTCTTTTCTTTTTTTTTAATTCTTTTGTTCGTTAAACGAAAATCATACATTCGTATTAGTCAAATTTAACTATAACACAAAACTAAGTGCAATCATTCCCTAACCATGAACACTATTTCAACTTAATTTCTTATGCGACTATGAGAACTTAGACTCTCATTATGTGAGTTTACCCCTTAACTATCGTTTGACCACGGAACCAATCCTTACGGACAAGAACAAGCCCCCCAAAAAAATGGTTTGTCTTAAAGGAACCTTATGGATTCATCACAATCCAAACATCCAAATCAAAACAACACGACGAACTACAAACAGATCAGCAACACATAGAGAGAAAATAAGAAGAAAAGAAGAGTCTTTTGTCATTGTAACATACATATTCCAAGGCAGAAAAAGCTTCAAACGCCTGCAAGCTATGTACACATGAATTTGAATCAAGGATAACATCACAGGCATTAGCATAAGCATTAACACACCCATATAGACAGACTCTGGCGAGAGAGATGACAAAAAAGGAACAAAGAAGATAAGTTTATTATGATATATGCCATCACAATATACTACTAATAGATAACAATAAAAACTAAGTTTTTTTTATGATAGAATAGCAATTACAGTGACTTCCATAAGCAAAGGAAAAAACCCTTATGGTGATAACTGCGGTAAAGATGACGTGTAAACTTTAGAATGTATCCAAATAGAATAACGGGGCCTAGTTGTTCATATGCACCTCCTCTTCCTCCGCCGGTTACGTTTATCATCCATATTTGAATCTCTATTTTTCAGAAAATTAACACTGTACTCCCGCACCTTTTCATGGCATTTTTTGTATGTAATTTCACAAACAACCTTCATTTCATCACATTCTTTCAGCTTCAGATTGAGTCGAGACGCTATGATCGATGCCACAGTAGCTGGATTTTGTCTAAGTAAGTTCAACACATTAAGACCATGATCATTGTACAATCTCTCAATGCAGATTAAATTCAGAACTGTAAAATATTCTGCAATGTCGATAACTTCTCTCCCTTGTTCTTCTCTTTTGTCCAACAACTTGATGTCTCCCAACAGTTTCTCTATAGCCTCCTTTGTTGATTTCAAACGATGTCTCAACATATCTATTTCAAACAAATTATGTTCACAATCGAGCAATGTCTGTTTGTACGGATGATCCTCAATCTGCACAAAACATAAATCTTTGTATTTGTTATCTCTTTCAGGTTGGTTCGATTCACAAAACCCCTTGAACTCGATGTACAGATCATGGTGGTCTTTGAAGATAACACAGACCTCTTGGTCGAGCTGAGTAATGTCTTTGTCCCCCAACCGCCACCTACTAAAAGCATCAATGAATGATTTAAACATACGAGGATCGTCTAGGAAACGATTACCAACCTTGTTGAAAAACTCGATTTGTGACGTCCACGATGATGTCTGAGTTTCATCGTCCACAACGTTGTTGTACACCTCCGGCGAAGTGATGACAGTCTTATTCGCCGGCAAGAAAGCTTTCAATCCAGTAACTAAATCATCATACCCATCAAACAGCTTCTTCACGATTGATAATAAAAGGGTTTCATCAATTTTTTGAGCCAAGTAATCTTTCACGACGTTAATGAATTCATAGTACTTCTCAGTCTGATCATGGAAAGTTTGCTTCACGAGTCGAAGGTATGTTTCCGCCTCTTGTTGAACATACAATTTNAACATAAATCTTTGTATTTGTTATCTCTTTCAGGTTGGTTCGATTCACAAAACCCCGTGAACTCGATGTACAGATCATGGTGGTCTTTGAAGATAACACAGACCTCTTGGTCGAGCTGAGTAATGTCTTTGTCCCCCAACCGCCACCTACTAAAAGCATCAATGAATGATTTAAACATACGAGGATCGTCTAGGAAACGATTACCAACCTTGTTGAAAAACTCGATTTGTGACGTCCACGATGATGTCTGAGTTTCATCGTCCACAACGTTGTTGTACACCTCCGGCGAAGTGATGACAGTCTTATTCGCCGGCAAGAAAGCTTTCAATCCAGTAACTAAATCATCATACCCATCAAACAGCTTCTTCACGATTGATAATAAAAGGGTTTCATCAATTTTTTGAGCCAAGTAATCTTTCACGACGTTAATGAATTCATAGTACTTCTCAGTCTGATCATGGAAAGTTTGCTTCACGAGTCGAAGGTATGTTTCCGCCTCTTGTTGAACATACAATTTTTCGTTTCTCTGAGTCTTTAATTCCTGTCGATTCGCTTGCTTATCAGCCGATATCTCCTCTGAAAAATCACCATAAAACCCCTTGAACTCCATGTACAGATCTGGGAACTCTTTGAACACACCAGCAACCTCCTGATCGAGCCGATCAATGACCCTGTCCCCAAAACGCCACATACCCAAAGCAACAAGAAACGATTTATATCTCCGAACGTCATCTCCGAAACGCTTCTGAACTTTTCTTACAAACTCGATCTGTGTCGCCCACGATGAAGTCGAAGCTTGATTGTCCACCGTGCTATTGTACGCCTCCGACGAAGCGGTGACATGCTTCGTCTTCGACGGCAAGAAAGAGTTGAACCCAGTGACTAAATCATCATACCCATCAAACAGCATCTTCACAGTTGATGAAAGTTGGGTATCATCAATTTTTTGATCCCCGAAATCTTTCAAGAGCTTACGGAATTCTTCGTACTTTTCAGTCTGATCATGGAGAGTTTTCTGCGCTAGCAGAAGGTATGCTCGAGCGTCATCTACAAACTTTACCATGGTTTCTTTGTTCCGAGGAAGAACGTATCAGAGATGAACGAGAAGAGGCAGAGAGTTTTTATCAAGTGGTCAGTCCTTTCCTGCCCAGAATAGGTTCCTTAATATGGTATAATTGCACTAGAACTCCAATAACTCAAATCCAGCACCGCCATGGCTTAGTTTGTTGTTACGGGTTACCGCCAAGAAGCTCCTCTCTATCATAATTTTATTAGGGTTAATTTCAAATTGCTCCCCTCAAATTTGGATCAAGTTGCAATCAACTCGCTCTAGTTTGAACTTCAACAAATTACCTCCTTAAAGTTTGTATAATTTTCAATTAACTCAAATTGTTAGTTTAGACAATGAAAAATAATAAAAATCAAGTAACATAATCTCAGATTTATTGAAAATATAAAATTACCCTAATTTAATTTTTTTTCCTCACGTTAAAATAAAATGATATGAATAGTGATTTTGTTTCTTCGTAGAATTGGAGATCATATAATTTGTAAATGGATATTTTTTTATAATTTTTTATTGTTAAAATTAATGACTTGACTTAATTTATAAAAATATTCAAACTTTGAGGGGTAAATTATTGGAACTAAAATTAGAGGGAGTTGATTGATTGTGAACTAAATTTAAAAGAGGTATTTTTCAATTAACCCTTTTAAGTAATAATTAATTACTTATCATAAAATTTATTATTTATGAGTGTGATCTCTAACTCATATTTAATAACCAACCTACTCTTAAGCAAAATTAACTAAAAGTATAGTGAAAAAAATCTGTATTTTTTAATTAATGGAATTTAAACTATTCATATATTTGGGTTAAATTTTGTTTAATCCATATCTCATTCCTTTATGAAATTAAGTATTAGTGGTTTTATATCATATCTAGTCATGTATATTTGATATCTAGTTGAATTTTTGAAATATTTAATTATAATTTTATTGATCAAATTTATTCAACGAATATGACGGTTTCACCATCTAAATTTGTGAAGACTATATTCAAATCTACGTCTTCTACATTCGTATCAAAATTTAAGTCAATGTCTAAAATTGGGTGTAGTTATTAAATTTGTAATTCTACACTTACCTAATTTTTTTATTTAATTTTTATGTTAAATTAAACTAATTATTGAATTAATCAATCTCACTAACACGAGTTATATTGCATGCTTATAATTGTGTCACTTCTTTTGGTGCAAGAGATAACATTTTGGCTAAGTTTATAGCGCCCACAAAAAATATGGGTATTACATCGAAATCGGAGTGGATCGAGAGCTCTTGATTTTGATTGAATCAATTTATAAACATTAATTATAAAAAAATAATTAATTATATTATCCCATTTCAAAATTATATTCAATACAAAGTGAAAGTATCATATTATAAATTATGAGAAATATGCACAATTTTCTGCTTTCAGAAATTAATTTTCAAGAGCGCCTCGAGCTAAAGAATTAAAATTTAATTTGAGTGTATTGTTTCAATCACCTAAAAAAACAGAAATATTTCGGCATATTTTAGAAATATTTTGAAAATAAAATAAAAAATTTAAAAATTATTGATCAAAATATATTAAAATATTTTAAAATATTATTGAACTTTTGATTGCTCGAGCCTTACTGATTGTCCTGGTTACCCTGGGTTAACCATCTTTCGAACTAGTTAATACCGGGAAACAGGCAAAGAAAGAAGAAAAACACCTTCGTTTAGATTCACTGAAGAGAGAGGATAAGCCTCCTGGGTTCAAATAGAAAATGGTTGATCGGGAGAGGGAGTGGAATTTTCATCTCAGATCGTTATCTTCTAGTGCCAGAGACTCCAATTTCGCCAACGATCCTGCCTCCGATCCTTCTCTCCTCAATTCCGTCAGCTTCTCTCTCTACAACTTTTTCGAATTTCTCGTCTGTGATTCACTAATTGTACGTTTCTGTTGATTTTGATGAAGTTTTTTCGTGCGATTTGATCATTTTATCAGGTGAAGAAGCTTCATGAATTTTGTAAAAGCGACAAGTCTGAGGATTTGATAGCTAGGGTTTATCCTCAGCTTAATAGAATTTTTCAACGCTCCGTGTCTGCGATTTCTCAGTCTCGTACCTCAAATGGCATTCTTTTACTGGTAATACTTTGTTCCATGTCTTTAATTTATTCCTTGGTGAAAATTGCTGTGTGGTCAGAAACTTAGTTTAACTGCCTCCTCAAGCTTTATAGTTCTTCAAATTTGTTCAAGACACATATAATTATACAAGATTAATCAACGGGAATATCAGTAAAAAGTTGGGACGTTGTTAACATCGTGCTCAAACATCTAAATCAGTGTTGGACTCTCTGTGGTAGACAATTAGCAAAACAGTGAGTAGTGTATGATCTTCAAAAAGACAAGGTGGATAACATACTGTGTTGAGACTCAGGGTTTTTTCGTAGAGCTCAATGCTCTTTACTTATGTGTTATAGAGATACACAATAGTTCATTTTCCTTCAGGAGATTAAATTAAAAATCAAAGGCATTGCAGCAACAAAGTTCTTTATAAACTGTGTGATGCAAGCGGATCATAGAGGTGATGCTTAGGGATATGAACAAGTAATCAGAGCATAGTGATTACGTTTCCCCTAGTTTCTTCTGCATAACTAATTCATTGTCGTTTCACTCTGTATCTCTTTTCTTTCCTAAAACAATATGCTTCTACATTGTGCGGTGCTAAGGTAAAATTGGCCTTTTTTCTATTTGTGTGGTTGTTTTTTTATTACTTTTATATGGTTTTGTTATTGTTCTGGGCCTGTATTTGCTTTTTAATTATTCATTTGGATTATCCAAACATTTTGATGTATAGGTATGTCTTGTCTTCCTATTTCTGTCTGTAATCATTGTTCAGGCACTGGCAGATATGTGGTATTATAGCCATACTGTTCATGGTTTCTCTTGTTTTGTTGTTGCTCAGGCCATTCTTCAATTCTTTCTTGATTTTGGAGATGTAGTTCTACATGATGCCGATCCTAATTTAAGGACATTTTTTCGTTCATGCTTGAGCCGGTAAGGATACAATTAAGCAATAATCATGTGCGATCATTTTTCTCTTGGAGAAAATAATGATATGTTTAGTTTGGCTCATATGTCATATGTAGTTGGGTTTGAAAATTACTTCACAAGTATTTTATAACTGATCAAGAAAAAATGAGAACACATTTGAGCAGTTCTGAGAATGCAGTCTTTTATCTCTTGTAGTTATGTGCAGATACCATAGTCAAAATGTGTCTTACTTGACTTTGCATTCTCGTGGCTTTTTGTATCTAGATTTCAGGCTAGGATCTGGCTGTGATTACAGTTACTCTTGACCTCAAAAAAAAAATCAATCAAAGCAAACAATTGAATTGTTTAATGCATTTTTTTGTGGGATTTNCGTGGCTTTTTGTATCTAGATTTCAGGCTAGGATCTGGCTGTGATTACAGTTACTCTTGACCTCATAAAAAAATCAATCAAAGCAAACAATTGAATTGTTTAATGCATTTTTTTGTGGGATTTTTTAGTGGATGAAGTATCATTCTGATGGAGATATTTTTAATGTTTTGCATTGCAATGCGACAGTAGGATCACTGTTGTGATAAGTTGTTCTAGTTAAAGTAGACTGGTGTCATGGACATGAAGGTGTCACATGGATGGACAATAATATCCTTTTAGTCTACTTTTTTTTTTTTTCNTCTATCATAATTTTATTAGGGTTAATTTCAAATTGCTCCCCTCAAATTTGGATCAAGTTGCAATCAACTCGCTCTAGTTTGAACTCCAACAAATTACCTCCTTAAAGTTTGTATAATTTTCAATTAACTCAAATTGTTAGTTTAGACAATGAAAAATAATAAAAATCAAGTAACATAATCTCAGATTTATTGAAAATATAAAATTACCCTAATTTAATTTTTTTTCCTCACGTTAAAATAAAATGATATGAATAGTGATTTTGTTTCTTCGTAGAATTGGAGATCATATAATTTGTAAATGGATATTTTTTTATAATTTTTTATTGTTAAAATTAATGACTTGACTTAATTTATAAAAATATTCAAACTTTGAGGGGTAAATTATTGGAACTAAAATTAGAGGGAGTTGATTGATTGTGAACTAAATTTAAAAGAGGTATTTTTCAATTAACCCTTTTAAGTAATAATTAATTACTTATCATAAAATTTATTATTTATGAGTGTGATCTCTAACTCATATTTAATAACCAACCTACTCTTAAGCAAAATTAACTAAAAGTATAGTGAAAAAAATCTGTATTTTTTAATTAATGGAATTTAAACTATTCATATATTTGGGTTAAATTTTGGTTAATCCATATCTCATTCCTTTATGAAATTAAGTATTAGTGGTTTTATATCATATCTAGTCATGTATATTTGATATCTAATTGAATTTTTGAAATATTTAATTATAATTTTATTGATCAAATTTATTCAACGAATATGACGGTTTCACCATCTAAATTTGTGAAGGCTATATTCAAATCTACGTCCTCTACATTCGTATCAAAATTTAAGTCAATGTCTAAAATTGGGTGTAGTTATTAAATTTGTAATTCTACACTTACCTAATTTTTTTATTTAATTTTTATGTTAAATTAAACTAATTATTGAATTAATCAATCTCACTAACACGAGTTATATTGCATGCTTATAATTGTGCCACTTCTTTTGGTGCAAGAGATAACATTTTGGCTAAGTTTATAGCGCCCACAAAAAATATGGGTATTACATCGAAATCGGAGTGGATCGAGAGCTCTTGATTTTGATTGAATCAATTTATAAACATTAATTATAAAAAAATAATTAATTATATTATCCCATTTCAAAATTATATTCAATACAAAGTGAAAGTATCATATTATAAATTATGAGAAATATGCACAATTTTCTGCTTTCAGAAATTAATTTTCAAGAGAGCCTCGAGCTAAAGGATTAAAATTTAATTTGAGTGTATTGTTTCAATCACCTAAAAAAAACAGAAATATTTCGGCATATTTTAGAAATATTTCGAAAATAAAATAAAAATATTAAAAATTATTGATCAAAATATATTAAAATATAAAAAAATATTATTGAACTTTTGATTGCTCGAGCCTTACTGATTGTCCTCGTTACCCTGGGTTAACCATCTTTCGAACTAGTTAATACCGGGAAACAGGCAAAGAAAGAAGAAAAACACCTTCGTTTAGATTCACTGAAGAGAGAGGATAAGCCTCCTGGGTTCAAATAGAAAATGGTTGATCGGGAGAGGGAGTGGAATTTTCATCTCAGATCGTTATCTTCTAGTGCCAGAGACTCCAATTTCGCCAACGATCCTGCCTCCGATCCTTCTCTCCTCAATTCCGTCAGCTTCTCTCTCTACAACTTTTTCGAATTTCTCGTCTGTGATTCACTAATTGTACGTTTCTGTTGATTTTGATGAAGTTTTTTCGTGCGATTTGATCATTTTATCAGGTGAAGAAGCTTCATGAATTTTGTAAAAGCGACAAGTCTGAGGATTTGATAGCTAGGGTTTATCCTCAGCTTAATAGAATTTTTCAACGCTCCGTGTCTGCGATTTCTCAGTCTCGTACCTCAAATGGCATTCTTTTACTGGTAATACTTTGTTCCATGTCTTTAATTTATTCCTTGGTGAAAATTGCTGTGTGGTCAGAAACTTAGTTTAACTGCCTCCTCAAGCTTTATAGTTCTTCAAATTTGTTCAAGACACATATAATTATACAAGATTAATCAACGGGAATATCAGTAAAAAGTTGGGACGTTGTTAACATCGTGCTCAAACATCTAAATCAGTGTTGGACTCTCTGCGGTAGACAATTAGCAAAACAGTGAGTAGTGTATGATCTTCAAAAAGACAAGGTGGATAACATACTGTGTTGAGACTCAGGGTTTTTTCGTAGAGCTCAATGCTCTTTACTTATGTGTTATAGAGATACACAATAGTTCATTTTCCTTCAGGAGATTAAATTAAAAATCAAAGGCATTGCAGCAACAAAGTTCTTTATAAACTGTGTGATGCAAGCGGATCATAGAGGTGATGCTTAGGGATATGAACAAGTAATCAGAGCATAGTGATTACGTTTCCCCTAGTTTCTTCTGCATAACTAATTCATTGTCGTTTCACTCTGTATCTCTTTTCTTTCCTAAAACAATATGCTTCTACATTGTGCGGTGCTAAGGTAAAATTGGCCTTTTTTCTATTTGTGTGGTTGTTTTTTTATTACTTTTATATGGTTTTGTTATTGTTCTGGGCCTGTATTTGCTTTTTAATTATTCATTTGGATTATCCAAACATTTTGATGTATAGGTATGTCTTGTCTTCCTATTTCTGTCTGTAATCATTGTTCAGGCACTGGCAGATATGTGGTATTATAGCCATACTGTTCATGGTTTCTCTTGTTTTGTTGTTGCTCAGGCCATTCTTCAATTCTTTCTTGATTTTGGAGATGTAGTTCTACATGATGCCGATCCTAATTTAAGGACATTTTTTCGTTCATGCTTGAGCCGGTAAGGATACAATTAAGCAATAATCATGTGCGATCATTTTTGTCTTGGAGAAAATAATGATATGTTTAGTTTGGCTCATATGTCATATGTAGTTGGGTTTGAAAATTACTTCACAAGTATTTTATAACTGATCAAGAAAAAATGAGAACACATTTGAGCAGTTCTGAGAATGCAGTCTTTTATCTCTTGTAGTTATGTGCAGATACCATAGTCAAAATGTGTCTTACTTGACTTTGCATTCTCGTGGCTTTTTGTATCTAGATTTCAGGCTAGGATCTGGCTGTGATTACAGTTACTCTTGACCTCAAAAAAAAAATCAATCAAAGCAAACAATTGAATTGTTTAATGCATTTTTTTGTGGGATTTTTTAGTGGATGAAGTATCATTCTGATGGAGATATTTTTAATGTTTTGCATTGCAATGCGACAGTAGGATCACTGTTGTGATAAGTTGTTCTAGTTAAAGTAGACTGGTGTCATGGACATGAAGGTGTCACATGGATGGACAATAATATCCTTTTAGTCTATTTTTTTTTTTTTTCTGTTTTTTTTCGCTGTCTTTATGATTTCTAAGGAATCTTGTGTCCTTTATATTCCCATAAAATGATACTGGCTATTCTCTTTCTAATATTTGAGAAATTCAAACCTGCTCATGAGGGTTTGCTGTACGTTTGATCCGTAGTGGTTGCAGTTACCAATTGCATCTTGCTGTCTCTGCTCCAATTCTGTACTTCTGTCATCTAAAACACGTCTAGAAGTTGGTTTCATGTTCATATCATTGCATACATCACGTCTTTGGGAGTGCACATGGCTCTATAGATTTTTTGGCATCCTTTTCCTTTACTTTCGTTGTGTACTTTTACGGTTAGCAAGCAAGTCCCCGATTAAAAAGAGGAAATATACAACCTCAACTATACCATCCCGATGGCTTTAGAGTTTTTTCAAAAGTTAATGCCCCTTGGGGAACTGCCTTGCAATGAAGTGCTTATAATTTTGCCCAAGGAACATAGAACTTAATATGCTGTATCCAATTGCATTATACTTCTTGATTCAAGTTGTCTAAAACGGACAGATGGGCAAGTAATTGTTTTGACACAATGTCCTTTTCTAGCTCTTTATTCTGTGCATTTGTTTGTATTACAATTTGCATGTTTCCTACATCACTTGCCTTTTTTTAATGAAAATATAACTTGGTGGTCTTCATACACCAATAATGTGTTGGTAAATGTTAGGTTGTTTCTGATGTCAATTGCAGGGAGTTTGCTGACCCTGTTGTTGCAGAAGCAACTGTTGATTTTCTGAACACCTACAAAAAAAAGCTTTTAACTTCTTTTCCTACCTTACTCCCTCAGGTATGATTCGAGATGGGTTCAGCCCTCTCAGTTGTCTGAACCCATATATGCACTTTGTTTCACTCAAGAAACTTTAGTTGCATAGGTTCACCTTGATAACATTAAGGAAAATTCTGAAAGTCAAACCTATGACCGTTCTGTGTACTCAAAGGACTGGTTAAGAGAGTTGTTATATCTACAGCCACAGGCTATTGAGACCTAATCATTCATGCCACCCGAAGTATTAGCAGTCATTGAGGCAGAGATATGGTGACCCTATTAAATTTTAGGTTCCGAATTTCATTTCATTGAGGGATCTCGATTTGTTGATTCAGAAGAAAAAAGAAGAAATAGCATATCATGTATTGTTCTCTAATCTTAATCATGTACTTGCAGTTTTTCCCATTACTGCTGAAGCTGATTGCATGGAATGGAGAGAAGTAAGTCTCTCTAGGTTTTCTGTATCTATTATAGTATTCTAAAATGATGCTACTTATTAAAAGAATATACGTGATTAAGCAAATTATACTTCTCTTTCTATATATGTTTGGTGCATTTATACATGGGAATGTGTGCCTATAAGTTGTGGAAATTATATGCATTTTGTAAAGAGAGCTTCGATCCTTGTGCTATCCATCTAGATTTTCTAGTATGCATGGTTGTCTTCTTGTTTGTTAGTGCCACATACAAGCATGAGTCTCACGTAAATGTAGATGTAAAGAGTGCATGAATCTCACATAGAATGATTATGACCGATAAGGTTTGTTTATATTGCTAAGGGATTTATCCACTTGTTGCCAATTGGTTTGGAGGTGGATTTTTTATAACGTCCATATGCAATCTGCTATAGCCTTCATGCATGTCTGTATGTGCAAATATACTGTAGGAAGTACCTAGTCTATGCGTCCAGATGCATACTCATACATACCTAAACAAACAGACACACAAGCATGGGCATGCGGACAACACATGGTTCTCACTGAATTGATCATTCTTGCATGTCATATCTTATTTTGGATCTCACTTCTTGAGTTCAGTGAGTATGTTATTTTGAGGAGGTGTTGTTTGAGCAGTTTTAGTTTAGATTTATTGTTTTGTGCCTTGTCTTGATTGTTGTAAATTAAACTATTGCTCACCTTTTTTCATTTGTATCTTTCTTTTTCTCTCTTGTTAAACATTGTGTTTCATTTACTACAATAACAAAAATTAAATTACCAGTTTACAAGATTTTATGTCAAAATCAATGGAAACTTAAATGCAATCTTGGTTGTAAAAAACTATGTTCTTGTTTCTTATTCAAATGTTCTTGTTTCTTATTCAAGTAATCTTTTATTTACAATACATGAATTGAAGCACTAAAGAATGCATTGTATATGACTTCATTTGATTATTGAGCTACATGATACCATTATTTCAACTGGCAAATTTTGATGTGTGTATATCTATGTTTTTTTTACCATCCAGATTGGAAAAATCATTTCTAAGGGTATTTCCAGGATTGATATCCCCTGGGTCATTTCTTCCACTATTTCCGTCACTAGTTGACATACCAAGTGAGTTCATTATCTAGTATTTTGTGCTGTTCCTTTTTTATTTTTGGGATTTTAGTAAGTGGGTTCATTTATCTGGTATTTTGTGCAGTTCGTTTTGTTTTTGTTTTGGGGTTTTTAGAGGTGCCATAGTCCCTGGGCTGTTAGAATGTCAACATAAATAAGTCAATAAGCAGAGTTCCGTTGGTCTAGTTCAATGGGTTGGCATCAAAAGGCCTTTGTGGAAATAGATTGGAATTAAACTCTTTGAAGTACATCGGATTCCTCTACATGTTGCGGTAGAAAAAGTTGTTTGTGATTTTAAGCACCCTGATCTCCATAAGATGACCTTATCACTAAAAAGAGGTGCTCCCTTTTCAATATGTTTGTATGTTTTGANATAGAAAAAGTTGTTTGTGATTTTAAGCACCCTGATCTCCATAAGATGACCTTACCCTGATCTCCATTAGATGACCTTATCACTAAAAAGAGGTGCTCCCTTTTCAATATGTTTGTATGTTTTGAATATTTTCTTTAAGGTCCTCAAACTTCAGCTGTATGTTTAGGTGTCTGTTTAATTTCAACTGCAAAGCCATTGATCAATGGTGTCATCGCGTGCCTTTCTTTTCTCTCCTAGTAGAACCACCCTTCATCTGTCTTTTTGCTACACATAACCCCCAGAATACTTTTTCTTGTCTACAAGGACACTTTGAACCGCATTGGANTTATGTTTAGGTGTCTGTTTAATTTCAACTGCAAAGCCATTGATCAATGGTGTCATCGTGTGCCTTTCGTTTCTCTCCTAGTAGAACCACCCTTCATCTGTCTTTTTGCTACACATAACCCCCAGAATACTTTTTCTTGTCTACAAGGACACTTTGAACCGCATTGGAACTGCCTCAGCGATATTTAGACGTCTTTGGGATGTACAGGAAGAGGAGCAGATGAGAATTAATGGTGTCAACGATTGAAGACTAGAGAAAGCAAAACTCACTGGTGCCTACAGCAGCATTTACTGCAACCATTTTCATTATGCGATGGCTGATATTCTATTTGGCAGTAGACTTGAAAGAGAGATGGAGCTTAATGCAAGACAGCTGCAGAGTCAAGTGGAGGGCTTTGAAAGACAATTAGAATATAAAGGTGGAAGGAGGCATGTTTGTAATTTCAGTGACAAAGGAAAGTTGAGATGAATGGGTTTTCTCGTTATATCAAAGTATTGAAATCCCTGACCTAACTTGGAATGTGAAAAATCGTACCCATACTTACAGACATAAGTGCAGACTTGCACATTAGAATCGACTTAGATTGGTCATTTAATTGAGGACGTCTAGAAAGAGATAGAGGACATGAGATGAGGGGCTTGAGAGACAATTCCCAGAGAAATCGATGCGGAAGAAAGCATGTTTAAAGTTTCCGAATTGTTGTAATGTATTGTTTTGGAGGTTGTGAAAAGACGGTATTCTCGTATATTGTGTAAAGGGCTACATTCTACCTGCCAGGAAGCACTTATAATTTTTTAAAATGGGTTGGGGAAGATCCCCTGATATTTTTTATGAGCAGTTGGGAATGGTATATTTTGGTGAGCATAGCAACTCAAATTTGGTTGTTCTCATGTATTAGATGTACATTCTCACAAAAAATAAGATCTCCCAGATGTTTCAATGCTAATGTGGTTTAGGAGACCTTTTTTGAGCGTGGTATTCATGACTATATTTTAATGTATCATATTAGGTGTATCAGTATGACACTTCTTTTTTTTCCATTTTTACTAGTATTGGTTGTGGCATTGGAAAAAGTAGAACGGAGCTCGGGACCACTGATTGGCAACAGCATAGCTTCAATTCAGAAGAGTACGGCTCCTGAGGTTACTTTTGATATGCCTAAAAAGTTTTCAACTCAATTGAAGATCTAGCTCTTTTAATACATTTGAGGACAACCATCTGTGGATGCAGATGCTACTTGCACTTATGGATGAAGCATATACTGGATCAACCATTGGGGATGAGGGGGCAGACTCTGAATCTGAGGACAAAAATACTATAGCTGTAGCTGATCCACTATTTCTTGAGCTTCTTAAGGATGAGAATGACGGCCTTGCTGTATGGTCCTTTCTATGCCTTGCTTTGGTTTTGGTTTCTACTGGAGACAGATAGATTGGTCTCATATAAAAAGACCTGAATTTTGATGTATAGTTGCAGAATGAATCATTATATTATTTTCCTTTTTTCTGTTTTAAACAAGTCAGTAAGTGTTGGGGATACGGCTTCCCTCTAATTTTTCTTCTTTTTTTGTGCATACTAGAAGTTATTTTGCTCCACCTCAATTGAATTACATCATCCTTGGCATGTCTTATTTTTTGCTGGATCTGTGCTTGTTTTGTCTAGATTAGTCAACTCTGTTTTTGTTGCCAATATCTGAATTGCGACTGATGAAGTCATCATTCTTCTTCGATAAGGCAGATTTTCTCCATAACTACCTGTTTACTGCTTATAGTATGTAGGATTTTATTAATTCTTGATTGCTTTTTATTGGACCATTTGATTCTTGATTGTTTTGTACAGAGNCTCAGTTGGTTTTGCTTTATATCTGGCTTCATGGTCTTGTGAACATTATAACTAATTTGGTACACTTATTTAGGGATCCAATGGGCGTGTATGACCTTGGATTGCTGAAATACAAAGTTAATTTTGTATCACCTAATTCAGTAGATAGAGCTATTTTTGTGACTTCCTTGGTATTATTCTCTGCAAAATGGATGTATGATATGACCTCGCAGTGGCCTAGAGGCCACTAGCAGATGCATTTATTTAAGCCCTTAATNTGCATATTCTGTTCGATCTGACTAGTGAGGATTTTGAATATGTAAAAACAATCTTTATTATCATATAATAGTTCCTTATTCTGACATGTCAAGCTATTGCTTGAAGAGTGGANAGCATATTCTGTTCGATCTGACTAGTGAGGATTTTGAATATGTAAAAACAATCTATATTATCATATAATAGTTCCTTATTCTGACATGTCAAGCTATTGCTTGAAGAGTGGATGGTAAATCATCTAGACCATGTTTCAGGAGCGGCATTGGACTTCTCCTGGGATGGCTGCAGCGTTGCAGGCCGCAATTAATACACCTCAGTCTGATAGATTGAAACAAGCACTGAAAATGACACCTCGGCTAGTTGATACATATTTTTCTGTAGCAGTTCGTGACATGAATAATTGTATGTTGATATTTTTTTCATCTTGATTTGCTTGACAGCTATTTTTTTTACCAGAAGTTACATCTCTCTCACAAGTAATCCAATGTGCTCTGGGTCATGATCTGAAATTTATGTTGTGTTGCAGCATTAATATGTGCATTGATTCCTCTGCTTATGACAAGACATTCTACGTTATTTCCCGACAAAATTTTCTCTTATGAGGTGAATAATTATCTTTTTAAGGATTTGAAGTTTATCTTACAAAAGATTTTTGTGGCATTCATCTGAGGTTTGTGTTAGGTGTAAGATACAGCATATATACTGGGGAATAGATCCAATAATCAATGGATATTAAATGGGATTCAAGTAGGCTTCAGTTACAAAAAAAGGATAAGGATTCAGAGGTTAATATTGTTGGTTGAGTGCATCATCCTAATCACTTCGGGTCGGTAATTCTTATGTTTAGACTCTAGCAATGTGAACATTTTTCTTGTACAATATAACACTACGCATCATGAACGGGATGAAAATATTTATCCATCACTACCAGCATATGTAATCCTAGAGGTGTATAATGTGTTATACTCTATTGTTTTTATTTTTCTTTTGGGTCTTGAGTAATTTCGTTTTATATCATATCAGATTTCCTTGCTTGTCCTCCACCTTCCCTTCTTTTCTTTATTCCGAAGGAATTGTTCTTCACCCATCTCAGTTGGTTTTGCTTTATATCTGGCTTCATGGTCTTGTGAACATTATAACTAATTTGATACACTTATTTAGGGATCCAATGGGCGTGTATGTCCTTGGATTGCTGAAATACAAAGTTAATTTTGTATCACCTAATTCAGTAGATAGAGCTATTTTTGTGACTTCCTTGGTATTATTCTCTGCAAAATGGATGTATGATATGACCTCGCAGTGGCCTAGAGGCCACTAGCAGATGCATTTATTTAAGCCCTTAATATATGGAATACCTGTAGCTGTAGATATTGAATATACCTTTTCTTCAGAACACAAGATATTGTACATACTTTAGCTGGTGAATATTCAAACTAAACTGCAACTCATGCTTGTAGGTTCAAAGGAGGCTCTTAGAATTCATGCTTGCTGCCTTTCATCGATCTCCCAATTTCATTGCACTTCTGAAGGTGATTTGCTGAAAAATCTGGCTTGGTTGAAGTCAATTTTATCTATTGTAAATACGTTACCACTCAGTAAATCTCAGGTAAGAATAGTTCCCTAAATTTGGGTGCATGTGTATTTGTGATATATCGGCAAGGAAAGAAGGAGGTGGGAAGTCATGCCCTGTGGGCTTGGCAGGGGAGGAGCTGTTCTGTGTTTTTGATTATGCATAACATCTTTGTTGTCCTGATGGATAATGGATTATACATTATACTCATGTCTTCTAAATACTTCCGCAGGGCTCCTCTTCCATGAAACTTTCTTAAACTCATATTTTCTTCTGTATTTTGATCATATCCATACTTGATGTTTGCAGAAGCCTATAGTGGACAGACTTGGAGAAGCTTATGACAGCCCTGCAAAGGTCAATTGATTAACATCCATCTCCTTCTGAGCATCTCCAAAATGAAAAACAAAACAAAGTATATATGAGGAGATATAGAGCGGCAAGAAAATCGAGGAAAAAATAACCTTTTTGTTTAATCATAGGCTGTTAATATGTTATACAATTTTCAATATGATTTTTTACAGACCGAGTTGGCATTACAATTATGTTGGGCCATTGGGGAGCATGGAGGGGGTGGTGGATCTCATAAAGATGCAGCTCGTGAACTTTTTGAGAGTTTGGAACTACTTTTATATGAAAACCTTTCATCAAGGTACATTGAGATGGTCTGCTATTTGAACAGCTTGTGATTTGTCTTATAATATTGGCAATGGAATACTGATCATCGTCTTCTGCTTTTGATAACTGAGAAGTCGTTTGGGTCTAAGAGATTCAGCTCTTGGCTCTGTTAGTTCAACCTTCAGAAAATCATCACAGTCCAGACTGTTATGTTTTGTTGTGACCGCAATCGCAAAGCTTGCCACTTACCATCGTGAACTACAACCAAGGGCACGAGTATCTTTGGCAAAGGTCAGTCAGTTTTGAATAGAGTCTTTGATACTTTCCTTTTACCTAATGGGAGTAGGAAAAAAGAGAGTGTGTGTGNTAGAGTCTTTGATACTTTCCTTTTACCTAATGGGAGTAGGAAAAAAGAGAGAGTGTGTATGTGTGTGTGTGTGTGTGTGTGAGAGAGAGAGAGAGAGAGAGAGAGAAGGCTGATTTTGGAAAATGGTATTCGTTTGTATATGTATTGGTCCACACATTTCTCATACAATTAACCTACACAACTAAAATATTGAATCTACATTACAGGTGGCCCGTTCTCGTATCTCAGATGTGAGGGTCTGGAGACGTGCACGTGATTATTTGGGCTTAATGAATGAGCCTGCAATATGTTCGTCTGTCTTAGGTCCTTCAAGACCTTCAAGTGAATACATGCCTCCAGGCAGTGTCAGGTGGATCGAGGGCGGCTCAAAAATGATTGCACATGTTCCATTTTACATTCTAAGTGAACAAGAAGGTAAATGATATTTCTAATGGAGTTTTCTGGAAATTATGCTTAGCTGCACCGAAAAATCCTCACTTACAACTCTCTGAAATGTGTCATAGCATATGTTTGTCTAGATGGTGTCATGGCATACTGTTATAGTCAAATTAAACGTGTTCCTTGTTCAACAATGTTTTAAGTGAATGTTTGCGTGCCGTTTTCATAGACTAGGCAACTGTTACTTGAAAATGCTGTACAATGTTATGGCACCCTTTATGTTATGCCAAAAATGTTCGCTTTCTGGGATTAAATTTCCATGAACATGTAATATTTTTTCAAAAAGTAACGTCCCTATGATGATACTGACTAGCCACTATCTATACCCATACCCCAGGGAGTATACGAAATGCCACCATCAGTTGGGCTCATTAACCAATATTGTAGCTTCACTTCTTTTGGAGTTAAACTAATATGGAAGTAAACTTGAGACATTTTTCTCTTTGTTGCAGGTCCTCCATTTCATGATTTTTCATTTTCGGATATCCTTCCTGGAAAATGAGGCTTTCTATTCCAAGGGAAGATTCGCTGGACAATGTTGTTCAGTTGGGGTTTTTTTTTTTTGAAAATTTGATTTGTAGTTCAATGTGAACTAAACAACATATTTATTAGATTTAGCAAGAGGTGGAAAAAATGAACTCATTAGAAAGAAGAGTTGCCATGAAAAAATATATGACAAAATAATTTTGTAATGGTGTTAATTTAAGTTCATAAGGATTTTCAGATTGTATTAATGTGATATAATTTTTTCATTTCAATCCTTGCACTTCTTTTTTGTAAGACATTCTAGAATGACCTATTTGCTTGACAATTTTTTAGTATTAAGAGTATCTTTAAACAAGAATAATGACTAATTATTTTATATAAATAATGATATCACGTGACAATAATTGTTTCTCTTCTCTGTAGAGATCCGACCCCAGGTGTGGCGTGGATGGAGACACATGCTCACCTGCGCACAAAACATTTTATTGTGGTTACATTTTCCTAATTTTAAAAGAGTAATGTTCGATAGATTTAAAAATTAGATTTGATAATTTCAACCATTGAATAGGTGTTGGGTTTTAAAATTAGAAGTGTATTACCCTCCCCCAAAAAAAAAAAAAANACGAAATAATTTTGTAATGGTGTTAATTTAAGTTCATAAGGATTTTCGGATTGTATTAATGTGATATAATTTTTTCATTTCAATCCTTGCACTTCTTTTTTGTAAGACATTCTAGAATGACCTATTTGCTTGATAATTTTTTAGTATTAAGAGTATCTTTAAACAAGAATAATGACTAATTATTTTATATAAATAATGATATCACATGACAATAATTGTTTCTCTTCTCTGTAGAGATCCGACCCCAGGTGTGGCGTGGATGGAGACACATGCTCACCTGCGCACAAAACATTTTATTGTGGTTACATTTTCCTAATTTTAAAAGAGTAATGTTCGATAGATTTAAAAATTAGATTTGATAATCTCAATCATTGAATAGGTGTTGGGTCTTAAAATTAGAAGTGTATTACCCTCCCCCCAAAAAAAAAAAAATTCCTGTATAATTAAAGCTTAGTGAGTCATTTGTCCGAGTGTGTGCAACTTCTCATGTGATAGCATGTGCAGAGCAATTTGATGGCCCACATGGGCATTCATATTCCTTACTTGAATGATTGACCCTTGAAAGAACCATTTCTCTAACTATCACCGTAAATAATCGTGGAAAAATGTTACATAATTTAAATAAAATTTTAAAAATACAACATAAATGAATATTATTTTTTACATAAGTGTTAGATAAAATTATAAAAAAAAATCCAATAATATATATTTGAGTTATAATTTTTAAAATTTTATTTTGATTATATAGAATTACTTATAATCGTGAATGATCTGTACACATTTGAGGGAGAGTTAAAAATACAAAGCATTTGACCTAAATTGTGGACCCCAACCCTTGAGGTTNCTCAATCATTGAATAGGTGTTGGGTCTTAAAATTAGAAGTGTATTACCCTCCCCCCAAAAAAAAAAAAATTCCTGTATAATTAAAGCTTAGTGAGTCATTTGTCCGAGTGTGTGCAACTTCTCATGTGATAGCATGTGCAGAGCAATTTGATGGCCCACATGGGCATTCATATTCCTTACTTGAATGATTGACCCTTGAAAGAACCATTTCTCTAACTATCACCGTAAATAATCGTGGAAAAATGTTACATAATTTAAATAAAATTTTAAAAATACAACATAAATGAATATTATTTTTTACATAAGTGTTAGATAAAATTATAAAAAAAATCCAATAATATATATTTGAGTTATAATTTTTTAAATTTTATTTTGATTATATAGAATTACTTATAATCGTGAATGATCTGTACACATTTGAAGGAGAGTTAAAAATACAAAGCATTTGACCTAAATTGTGGACCCCAACCCTTGAGGTTTTTTTTGGACAGAACATNGAGTGCATATCATCGTTCTAAGTTTGATCTCTCTATATAAGATTGTTACTAATCCTCATTCTCTCTCTCTCTCTCTCTCTCTACTAATTCTCATTCTTTTCTCTCTTTTTTTTGTTGGGGGGGGGTGTGCCAGAGGCCGATTAAAGGTCCTAATATGCATGTAGAGAAATTCTCTTCGACTACCTTTATAAATATTACAAAAAATTCCTCGTACATGAAGGAAATGCAATCATTGTTGGGTATGAGTCAATTTGTGTTGTGTCAGGTAACCTACGTGTCGATATTTTTGTGTCGTGTCATTATTATTTATGTCATGTTTGTGTCAAGACACACGAGAAAAAAAAATTAATGTGTTCTAAGTATCAAACATTAATTTAAATAATTTATTATATGTTTTTAATAATCGTATCAATTTTATAATCGGGTTTGTGTCGACAGGTTAGCGTTGAAACCTTGTGTATCTGTTTTGTAGTTGATAAAGGGAAAGAGAGAGAGAGAGTTGATTGGGTTGTGCTGCTTAGGTGAAAATAGCTAATTAGTAGACGAAGAGAGTTGATTGGGTTGTGTTGCTCAGGTGAAAATAGCTAATTAATAGATGAGGATGGCTTGGTTGGAAGAATGCAAAAAAGAAACAGTAAAGATGTTTGGATGGGACATGAAAAAGGGCAGGTGATGGAGGGATGCAAGAGGAGTAAGGACATGACCCCTTCAATTATTGTCCTTTGCAAAGGACTCCCACAATGCAGACAACAGGTGATAGATACTTGCATGGTGGTTCACATGGAAGGATTTTTATGGAAAACTCATGCCTTCTTGAACTTAAGCATTCTAGGTCAACAAATATTTGGCCTTTCATAGTTTGGATCTTCAGTTTCTTTAGGAATGTTTTTTTTAGTTGGTTCTATTTATATTCTACGAATTGTACATACGTTTTCAACTAATAGAGATCATCGTAACCACATGACGTCTAGACTCATAATTGTGATATGATCTGAATTTGTATAATCACCCACAAAGAATGTATATCGAGTTAACCCCTTACGAGACAAGTACCTAAGACTATGAGACATTAATCACCAAAGCTACTAAAAAATGAAGAACATTCGTGATGTTTTATTATTTAGCTCATGTTTATAACACAAACTCTCTCGATTCACCGATTAGAAAAAAATCAAACCAATAAATGTGATTGTGATTGTGATCTTTATAAGGTAATGGATGATGTTATCAGCAGAACAAAAATAACTAAACAACTTAACCGACCTCATCCAATACCAATCTAGTGCAGAAACTTTTAATTCCTCAAAGTCATAGGCTCCTTTTTCTGTTTCTGTTTTTTTTTTCTTCAACAATTTCTTTATGTTTCTTTCTGGGTGAAGTCAAAGAATCATTCATTCCACTCTATATTGATGAGGTAATACATTTTATTTTCAATGGATGACTTGAAAACAAGCAACAGAACTTTATTTGGTGATCAAAAGTCTCCTCTTCTCTCTCTCTCTCCAGATAACATACAAACAATAAAACACATTTCAACTTGAAAATTCCACCTAGAAACTTAATTGTTCTTTATTATTCTACTGAGAATTTGAGTCCCTGTTTAACTATATTTCTTTTGAGGATTAATTTCTTTAAATGGTTTTGTTATATAAATAGAAAAGTTTCCATTAGGAGCATAATGATTCTTTTGGTAGGTATGTTTACATAAACAAGATACAAACAATTCCAGAGATGACAAAATGACCAAAGAACTGGTCCAAGTCATTTTGGTGACTCATTCAAAGTATTTAGTGGGAAGGAAAGTCCAAACCAAAGTAAATAAGATTTGGCACATCTCCGTTGCTGATAATCTAATGTGGAGCCACAAAGGTCAAATTCTCTCTCTCTCTCTCTTTGTTTTCTGGTTGCAGCTGCTCAATTTAACTACCCCAACTCCCTCAGGCCCACAGTACCAGATTCCAAACCCATTGAGTTCATCTTCTCCCTTATTGTATAGTTCTTTCTCCACTATATAAATATCAACTTATGTGGTCTTCTCCAAAACTGGCCAACAAACCTAACTTCATTCTTTTCCAATCTACTTCATGCTCTATAGATGGATAACTCCATGATATCCAAGAATAGTGCTCTCTTTTCTGAGGGAAGATCAGTAGATTCTACTGAGGAGAGTGGTTGGACTTTTTATTTGGAGGACTTCTTATGTGACAATCATGGACACAGTCCTTTGTCCTCTGGGAATGAAAGCCCTTCTCTAGTTTCAGATGCTGGTAACTCTTCAGTGGCAAAGAAGTTGGCTGATAATGATCAGGCTGTGGGGTTTTCTTTGGATAAAAGTTGTAAGAATTTGAGCTTTAAGAAGAGGAAAACGAGAAGAGCAGCAGTTGATGATGCTTTGGAGGATACTGCTAGTTCTCCTGTAAATAGTCCAAAGGTCGGATAAGATTGTATTTATATATATTTTTTTTTTCGTGCAACAGGTAGAAATGTTTGAGCTAATTTACACACACCTCGACTAATGTTCTCCCTGATCCTGTCAAAGGTAAGTCATCCATGTGATGACTAAAATATTCATGAGGATAAATCTCTCATAACCTGGTCCTAATGAATAGCTAAAATTTGAACTCTCAAGATGGCTATGTTTATGTATAATGGTAGTGAATTCATCAGATTCTTTTGATTTTATGAATGCATATNATTTTTTTTCGTTCAACAGGTAGAAATGTTTGAGCTAATTTACACACACCTTGACTAATGTTCTCCCTGATCCTGTCAAAGGTAAGTCATCCATGTCATGACTAAAATATTCATGAGGATAAATCTCTCATAACCTGATCCTAATGAATAGCTAAAATTTGAACTCTCAAGATGGCTGTGTTTATGTATAATGGTAGTGAATTCATCAGATTCTTTTGATTTTATGAATGCATATAGCTATGTATGTCAGGTTAGGTTTTCCATATTTTTNTGTTTATGTATAATGGTAGTGAATTCATCAGATTCTTTTGATTTTATGAATGCATATAGCTATGTATGTCAGGTTAGGTTTTCCATATTTTTGTTTCTTTTTCTTCAATAGGTTTCTTATTTCAATCCAGCTTAGTTGTGGGTGTTTAGTGTACACAAGTAAATTTCATCATCAGTTGTTTTTCAATTTTTTTTTAATTTTTTTGTTAAATAGGTTTCTTATTTGGTTCAATCAGACATGAACAAAAAGGAAAATAAGGACATTTTGCAGGTAAAAGAACTGATATTTATGGGTTTTTTTCCATGGTTTACTCCATCTTTGTGGTTGATTTGCTGGTATATATTGTCTTATTTGTTGCCTAACACATAGGTATTAATTTGCTTTGTGGGTTTTGTAGGAGAAAGGTAATAATTGTGGGCAGACAGAAGAGAGCATTCAGTCTGATAATATTGGAACTGATAGTGACCATACAGAACTGAAGAAAAGGGGGCTTTGCTTAGTACCTTTGTCAATGCTAGCAAATTATTTTGGTTAATCTTCATTCTATCATCAATGCACTAGCAATTCAACCTCTCTAGATCTCTCTCTCTCTCCCCCCCCCCCTCTCTTTGTGTGTGTGTGTGTGTGTGTGTGTCATCTGTCATCTCTCTCTTTTTTCAGTTGAGGGTTGATTTTGGCTCTTGATCTTGAGCTCTCTGTTCTTAGCCTAGGCTTGGCTTCTTTTCTTGGAGTCATTATCTTCCAAAACCAAGTTGCGTACTGTCCGGTTTGCAACTCCTCTTAAATTTGTCTTTTACGATATTTACTATATTTCTTACATTTCAAATATAGCACATCCTTTTTTTGACTACAACAATGATTCTTTCCCCGGGAAAAAAATAATTTGTCAACTAAACTTGTCTTGTGTTCTAATAGGGGTACCGTCTTTTCATTCTCTCCAAAGAACCGTAACTTTATGACGATGGACTTCGACAATAGCTAACTTGTTTCTAGTTCTTACTTAAGGTATTAATCAACCGAACAACCAACAATACAAATACAAAGTATCGCATGTGTTTACGTAAAAGAACATCAAGGCTTCCTGCACAAATTGAGGAAAGAAGGAAATAAAAAAATAAAATCAATTTATGATAGATCCACAAAACTTAATTGGGATTTATTTGCAATTTTCCGGCAGCAACCCCAAATTGTCGGGCTTGGCCACTTTTTTTTTTTTTTTT